TTTGTTCTTTCTCAAGATTGCTGTGGCTATTTGGGGTCTTTTGTGGTTCCATATAAATTCTTAGACTATTTGTTCTAGTTCTGTGAAATACGTCACTGGTATCTTGATAAGAATTGTGTTGAATCTGTAGATTACTTTGGGTAGTATGGACATTTAATTCTTCCTATCCATGAACATGGTATATATATGCTTCCATTTATTTCTATCTTCTTAATTTTCTTTCTTCGATGTCTTATAATTTTCCAAGTACTGGTCTTTTACATCCTTGGTTCAATTTATTCAGAATTTTGGTGTTTTTTTTTTTTTTAATGAAATTATAAATGGGATTTTTTTTCTTAGTTTCCCTTTCAGCTAGTTCTTTATTGGTATATAGAAATGAACTGATTTCTAGATATTTATTTTGTATCCTGCCACTATACCAAATTTATTTATCAGATCTAGGAGCTTTTTGATGGAATCTTTAGGGTTCTATATGTCATCTGCAAATAATGATAGTTTTTCTTCTTCCTTTCCAATTTTGATGCCATTTATTTTTCTTCTTGTCTGATTGCTGTATCTAGGACCTCCAGTACTATGTTGAATAAGCGTGGTGAGAGCAGACATCCCTGTTTTGTTCCCAATCTTAAAAGAAATGCTTGTAGTTTTTGCCTGTTGAGTATGATGTTGGTTGTGGGTTTTTTATATATAGCCTTTATTATTTTGAGGCATGTTCTCTTTATTCCCACTTTGATGAGAGTTTTTATTATGGATGGGTGCTGGATTTTATCAAATGATTTTTCTGCATCAATTAATATGATCATGTGATTTTTATCCTTCATTTTGCTTATGTGATGTATCATGTTTATTGATTTGCAGATATTGTACCAACCTTGCATCCCTGGAATAAATCCCATTTGATCATGGTGTATGATACTTTTAATGTATCCTTGCTGGATTTGGTTTGCTAATATTTTGTTGAGGATTTTAGGATCTGTGTTCATCAGGGATATTGGTCTATAATTTTTTTTCTTTGTAGTGTCTTTATCTAGCTTTGGAATTAAGATAATGGTGGCCTCAGAAAATGAGCTTGGGAGTTCCCCTCCCAACTCCCCTGAAATTTTTGGTAGTTTAAGAAGTGTAGGTGTTAGTTCTTATTTGAATGTTTAGTAAAATTCACCTATGAAGCCACTCGGTCCAGAACTTTTGTTTCTTTGGGGTTTTTGATTAGTGCTTCAATTTCACTAGTTATAATCTGTCTATTCAGATTCTCTGATTCTTACTGATTGAGTTTTGGAAGATTTGATGTTTCTAGGAATTTATCCATTTCATTTAGGTTGTCCAATTTGTTGGCATGTACTTGTTTGTAATATTTTCTTACAATCCCTTGTATTTTGTGAAGTCAGTTATTACTTTTTCTCTTTCATTTTTGATTTTATTTATTAGGGTTTTCTCTCTCTCTCTCTCCCTTTTTTTTTTTTGATGAGTCAAAGTCTTGTGAAAGGTTTGTGAATCTTGTTTATCTTTTCAAAGAACCAGCTCTTTTTTTTTTTTAATCCTCACCCAAGGACATTTTTGCATTTATCTTCAGATAGAGTGGGAGGGAGAGAGGGAGAAAGAGAGAGAGAAACATTGATGTGAGAGAGACACATCGAGTGGCTGCCACCCACACGACTCCAACAAAGGCCGGGGACAAACTGCAACCGAGGTACATGCCCTTAGTGGGAACCGAACCTGGGTCTCTCCAGACCGCAGGCCAATGCTCTAACTGCTGAGCAAACCCGGCTAGGGCCCAGCTCTTGTTTTTAATGATCTTTTGTATTGTATTTCTAGACTCTATTTTATTTATTTCTGCTCTGATCTTTTTCATTTCCTTTCTTTTATTCACTTTGGGCCTTGTTTGCTGTTCTTTTTCCAAGTTTTCTTACACAAGTAAGAAAAGTAAAGTGATTGCCTGTGTATATACAGGTTTTTTTTGTTTTGTTTTTTGTTTTTAGCAAAGGAAGAACTTTACAATTAAACAATGCAAGTTTTAAATGAGTGTCTTTGAAAGCTTCAAAGAGAAAAATCAATTATTTTATTTCTAATAATGGTTTGATTTTTTTTTTTCATTGCAATTCACAGAATCAAAAGTAAAGTTTCTGGAAGCTCTTTCTGAAAAAGGTAAAATGTCTGCATTACTGTGAATGCTGTTGTAATTCTGGTTTAAAAGTTCAGCATTGAAGATAAATTAGTTTTTGCAGTGATAATACAAATGCAAATTTTAGTGGAGCATCATAAAACCAGAGTCCTTTATCAATTAAGAAGCCTAGAACAATTGCCTATTTTTATGTAACTACATGCGAATAAGCTCCCCCCACCATTTTAAAAAATATATCAGGTGGCACTTATTTCCATAAGCAGTTAAATCGGAATTTGACTAATCAAAATGCAAGTTGTAGTTGTCAGAATTTACAATTTACACATACACACAGCGTCACTGAACTACAAAATTTTTATGTTGACTACAAAAAATACTTTAGCGCAGCCCTGGCTGGTCAGTGGTTAGAGCATAGGCCTGCGAACCAGAGAGTCTCAGATTCAATTCACGGTTGTGGTTCGCTCCCCAGCCTTCGTTGGGATTATGCAGGAGACAACTAGTTGATGTGTCTCTCACATTTATGTTTCTCTTTTTCTCCCCCTTCTGCCCCCACTCTATCTGAAGGTCAATGGAAAAATATACTCTGGGGAGGATTAAAATAAAAGTTGTTTTTAAATACTTCAGCGCAGCATATGCTTTTTCTCTTTGCTGTTACTCAAATTTTAGAATTGTTTGAGCCTTTGGAGAATTCCTTTGTAAATCGATTTAAGTAATTTACAGTGGTATCTAGCTTCTTTGTAAACAAATCCTTTATATTATGGCTACATTTTGTTCCAAATCACTTGGAAATCTTCCATTGGAATTTTTGATAAATGGATCACCAAAAACCCAAGGTTTTTGAAGTTTACAACAAATTGTAATTATTGAAAATGAACTTGGCAAACAGGGAGGCAATGATTTTTATCCTTCAAATGCAGAGGAATTGAACATATTATAAAGGACTGAAACAGTGTACTAGTTGCATTTTTTAAATTTTATTTTATTTTATTTTATTTATTATTATTTTTTTTAATCCTCAACCGAGGATATTTTTCCATTTTTTGTTCAGACAGAGTGGGAGGGAGAGAGAGGGAGAGAGAGAGAGAGAGAGAAACATTGACGTGAAAGGGACACATCGAGTGGCCGCTACCCACACGACCAACCAGGGCCGGGGACAAACTGCAACCGAGGTACGTGCCCTTAGCGGAAACCAAACCCGGGTCTCTCTGGACCGCAGGCTGATGTTCTAACCGCTGAGCAAAACCGGCCAGGGCAGCATTTTTTTTAAAATGTATAATTAGGTTTAGAAAATCTCTTCTTGCAGAAAGAATCTTTTTAAGGAGCTTCTATTTTCAACTGGGTAAATTGAAGTTCTATACTGAAATGGGATGAAATTAAGAAGACTTGTTTTCAGCATCTAAATTTGGCAAAACATTGAAAACAATTTTTGTCTCATAAAAATATTAGTTAAAGCAGATAATAACAAGTGTTGGCAAGGATGTGGTGAAATTGGAATCTTCATACATTGCTGGTGGGACAGTAAAGTTGTACATACAGTCTGGCAGTTCCTCAGTGGTGAAATGTCTAGTTACCATGTCACTGATCCAGCAATGCCCCTTCTAATTATATACCCAAGAGAAGTTAAAACACTCATTCACACAAAAACTTGAACATGAATGTTCATAACAGCAATACTCACAATAGCCAAAAAGTGGAAACAACCCAAATGTCCATCAGCTGATGACTGTATAAAAAATGTGGTATGTCATTTATTTTCATTTTTTGTAGAGTACAGACCTCATTAACTTTTTTTTCCTTTTCATTGAATTTGTTGGAGTGACACTTGTTTACAAAAGTATACAAGTTTCAGGTGCACAATTCTACAGCGCGCCATCTGTACGCTGTATTGTGTGTTCCTCACCCCAGGTTATTATTTGACATTTAAAAGGATAAAGTACTGATACATGCTACTGTATGGATGAGCCCTGAAAACATGTTAAGTGAAAGAAGCCAATCACAAAGGAATAGAGAGTATATGGTTCTATTGATATGAAATATCCACAATAGGTAAATCTATAGAGACAGAAGCATTAGTGCTGGCAGCATAGGAGATATTGGAGAGGTGTGGGGTTTCTTTTTAGGATAATGAAAACGTTCTAAAATTGATTGTGATCATGATACACAAGTCTGTGAATACTTAAAGCCATTGAATCATAGACTTTTAAACAGATGAATCATATGTTTGAATTATATCTCAATAAAGCGGTCAAAGAAAGGTACTCTGAATAGAAGCAAAAGGCAATACAGCAGAGCATTTGGGCTGAAACATTTACACATTTCAGTGTTGAAAAAGAGCTAGAATTGAGACTATCCTCCACCAGGAACTTTTGCTCTTATTTTTAAAAATTAAAAATATTGTTAGTTGAGGAAATTGAGTCAATTGAGGGAATAGCACTTTCAAACTGATAAGCAAAAAGAAAGAAAAAATACCACTACTCAGGGATAATCTTCATTAATCTTTTTTTCTTCTGGCCTTCATATGGATATAATGCTTTGTAAAATTATACAACTGTTCCCATTCAGAATATATCTGCTTCCATTCGGAGCCCCCCCCCTTTTTTCTGAATATCTCAGATAGCACATTTCCATATTGATTCGAGTTCCTGTTGTAGGCTATTTGGACATTTCATTTCATTCATTCATCTCCAGCCCTACTACTTGTTTGTGGTCTAGGAAAATGAGTGATGTCCAGCACACTGTGCCCGTGCCTGATGCCCAGAAGGCACGTAAACCCTGTTCCTTGATTGAAATGCTTGACCCAACAGAACAGCATCCTACTGCCACTTCATCAGCCAGACCACGATCAAATAGTCTGTTTCATTTTGTTTTCTTTTCTATTTCACAGGTATCGTGCTCCTGAAGTTTTATTAAGATCTTCAGTTTATAGCTCTCCCATTGACGTGTGGGCTGTTGGGAGTATAATGGCTGAATTATATACATTAAGACCACTTTTCCCAGGGGCAAGTGAGGTTGATGAAATCTTTAAAATTTGCCAAGTTTTAGGGACTCCAAAAAAAGTAAGTACTCTTGTCTTTAAGTTGTTATATCTTTTGCCTGGCTATCTGATATTTTCATTTTCAAATAGGCTTATGATTTAATGGTTAATTTTCTTATAGTTCTCAATTTATCTTAAATTAGGGTGGTATGAGGATTATAAGAAACCAGAATCCCACCAGACTGAAGAAAAAAGGTTCCTGCCTTTGTTTAAAACCTAAGAGAAAATGCTATATATTTAGAAGTCTATGTATTTAACTTTGGGTTGATGACCAGCTGACATCTACATAGACATCCTTGCTAACACTCTTTCCTACTTGGTCTGTGAATGTCCATTGGCATTACCCTGGGTGTCCTGGATCTTATTTTCTCTTAACCTTTCCTTGTTTCCTTTTATATACCTCTGCCATGGACATTTGACTTCTTGAACTGAAAACTTTTCAGTTAACTTTTATTCAGCTAGATCTTACTTTTTGAGGTGTACTTAATAAGTTTAAGTATATTTGCATCCTAATTAAATTAGTATGTGCCCTGTGGTTAATAGTAGCTACTAAAGCTTTAAGATAATTGTCATTTCCCAGCTATGTGCAGTTTTTAACATTGGATGCAATGTGTAACCTATGATGAGTATCTGTCATAATCAGGTGCTTTGGAAAGTAGGTGTCCTTATTTGTTCAGAGTCACTTGGGTGTCGTCGTCATCATCATCATCCAAATACTAGACAAGTATTATAAAAGTGCTTTCTCACTTTTTTCTAACTCAGTTCAATGTTCTTTCTATACTGTTTGTGGCACTGAATTGTATATTTGGTCTAGCATTTCATTCTCTCATTTATTTATATGAATCAACACTGAAATTTTCACGTGAGTGATTTGTACATTATTACCATGTTTTAAAATTGATTGCTCATTTTTTTTTTGCTCTCCCCCCGCTTATATATTTCTTAAACAGAGTGACTGGCCCGAAGGGTACCAGCTTGCATCCTCGATGAATTTCCGTTTTCCCCAGTGTGTTCCTATAAACTTAAAGACTCTTATTCCCAATGCCAGTAATGAAGCTATTCAGCTTATGATGCAAATGTTGAATTGGGATCCAAAAAAACGACCAACAGCAAGCCAGGTAAAATGAATCTCCCTGGTATACTTTTGTTAAATGTTGAAGATTTATAATATCAGGGATATTTTCTTTTTAAAATTTTATATTTATTAATTTGTTTTTGTTACAGATGTTTCTCATTTTTCCCCCATTGACACCCTCCTCCCCACCCCATCCCAACTTTGTTGTCTATGTACATTGGTCATGCATACATGCATGTAAGTTCTGTGGTTTACCTCTTCCCCCACAAATCCCCCCCCATCTCTGATGCTTGTCAGTCTGTACCCCACCTCTATGTATCTGAGTTAATTTTGTTCATCAGTTTGTGTAGTTCACTGTATTCCACAAATAAGTGAGATCATGTGATACTTGTCTTTCTCTTCTTGGCTTGTTTCGCTTAGGATAATACTCTCCAGGTCCTTCCATGCCATCTCAAAGAATAAGTGATCTTTCTGTCTTACAGCTGCATAGTACTCCATTGTGTACATGTACCACAGCTTTTTAATCTACTCATCTACTGATGGACACTTGTTTTGTTTTCAGATCTTAGCTACTATGAACATAGGGGTACATATATTTTTTCTGATTGGTGTTTCAGGTTCTTAGGGTATATTCCTAGAAGTGGAATCACTGGGTCAAATGGCAGTTCAATTTTTAACTTTTTGAGGTAACACCATAGTGTTTTCCATAGTGGCTGCACCAGTCTGCATCCCCACCAGCAGTGTACTAGAATCCCCCTTTTCTCCACACCCTCGCCAACACTTGTTGTTTGATGATTTGTTGATGGCGGCCATTCTGACAGGTGTGAGGTGTTACCTCATAGTTGTTTTAATTTGCATCACTCTGATGATTAGTGATGTTGAGTATTTTTTCATATGTCTCTTGGCCATTTGTATGTCCTTTTTGGAGAGGTGTATATATAGGTCCTCTGCCCATTTTTTTAAAAAATATATATATATATTTTTTTAATCCTCACCTGAGGACATTTTTTTATTTCTTGTTTAGATAGAGTGGGAATGAAAGAGAGAGAGAGAGAGAGAGAAACATCAACGTGAAAGGGACACCCGCACGACCCAACCAGTGCCAGGGACAAACTGCAACCTAAGTACGTGCCCTTAGCGGGAACCGAACCCGGGTCTCTCTGGACCGCAGGCCGATGCTCTCGCCGCCGAGCCAAACCGGCTAGCCTCTGCCCATTTTTTAATTGGGTTCTTTGTCTTCCTATTGTTGAGTTGTATGAGCACTCTATATATTTTGGTAATTAACCCCTTATCTGATGCATCATTGGCGATTATGGTCTCCCATATATAGTGGGATCTATCAGGAATATTTTCATTTGCAAAGATCAGTCTATTCTCTACCAGGGTTTATCAAGAGAATTAAGCCCTTAAGCCTTAAGGCACCCAGTATATATAATGAATTAATTTCTAGGCATGTAAAATTCTTGGGAAAATTGCACAAATAGCAACATCAGTGACTTTATGTGTTTTGTGGTTCAAATGAATAATGCTATAAAGCTGAGGCTGAAAGCAGTAAATTTCTGAAGATAAACATGCATGCATGCCAGACAACAAAGCCGGGGATGGGGCGGGAGGGAAGGGGAGGATGGTGTCCATGGGGGAAAAATGAGAAACATCTGTAACAAAAACAAATTAATAAATAAAAAAAATGTATGCATGTGACAAGCTAGTTAGGAAGAAACTTGTCATGGTAGTAAAAAGGCATCTCTCCAATCATGGGATATAATTGACTTTCCGATGCTTACCTTTGAGGTGAATTCTTGTTCACTCTCCCACAAGAGGGCAGCACATGGCACTCATGCTTGGCTCCTTTGTGATTATACCTTAGGTTGTATCTCAGCTCTTACGTTTTCTAAAACACCATGGTTTCAAATTAAAAACGTGGGCTTTAATTTAAAAAGGCTTAAATTAAAATGCCATAGTAAGATGATTGTATTTTTATTATTAATTACATGTAAATTCAGTATTAAAATTACCAAAAAATTATTTGGCTTTTAAAAAATTTAACTTGAGAAAATGTTTTCTAAAGACCATCTGGAAGAACAAATGGAAAAGAATAGTCAAGACAGGTTTGAGCAAAAATAAGTAATTGGAATATGGTGGTAGGGTTGGACAGCTTGCCCTCTCAAATGTAAAATAGCCTGTAAAGTGGTGATAACGACAAGAGCGAAGGGGAAGGAACTGCCGGAGGAATTGACAAGCAGCTCAGAGTCGTGCAGGGTCGTGCAGGCTGCAAGTCAGCGCGAGGTAAACATGGCCTCACCAACCGGGGCAGGGACACTGCAGTGAGGTTCCCGGGACAATCAGTCAACTCGTAGGGAAGTGAGTTTAGGTTTCACTTTTTACTGTACTTTACAAGTAAATCGCAGAAGGTTTAAATGATGGGGGAGGGGGAACTAAACTAGTAAGAAGTAAAGAAACTGTGGGTGAATATTTGACGTAAGATAAGAAAAAGATGGGAGTAAAGAGTAATAGAAAAAAACACAAAGGGAAAACTCAGCAGATATGATTATAAAATTAAAATTTTTTTCTTGGATAAAAATCTTAAATCAAAAGACAATTACTATTAACAAATATGACCATGTATTTTCTAATGTTTCAAACACTTATTATTTATGTAACAGTAGTATAATAAGTCTTTAAAATTTACCTAAAAAAGAAAAGTGGGCATGAAACATGAAAAAAGAATCACAGAAGCCCTGGCCAGTTTGGCTCAGCGGTTAGAGTGTCCGCCTGCGGTCCAGAGAGACCCGGGTTCGGGCATGTACCTCGGTTGCAGTTTGTCCCTGGCCCTGGTTGGTCGTGCAGGTGGCAGCCACTCGATGTGTCCCTTTCACATCGATGTCTCCCCCCCCTCTCTTCCTCTCTCTCCCTCCCACTCTGTCTGTAAAAAAAATGGAAAAATGTCCTCGGATGAGGATAAAAAAAAAAAAAAGAATCACAGAAAAATAAATTAAAATGACCAAAAAATTTGTTTTAATGTTTAGTCCTTGCTCACCATCATAAAATGCAAATGGAAATGAAATCCTTTTTTTTAAATCAAATTAACCAAAAATAAAAATAGTTTAAAGGCTATTTCTCTAGCCCTAGCTGGTTTAGCTCAGCAGTTAGAGCATTGGTCTGTGCACTGAAGGGTCGCAGGTTTGATTCTGGTCAAAGGCATGTACCTAGATTGCAGGTTCGATTCCCAGCCCTGGTCGGGTCCTGCAAAAGGCAGCCAATTGATGTGTCGCTCTCATGTCGATGTTTCTCTTTCTCCCCTCCTACCCCCCACCTTCCACTCTCTCTAAAAATCAATGGAAAAATATCCTCGGGTGAGAATTAACAAAATAAACAAATAAAAGCTATTTCTCTAAGTACTGATGGAAAGCAATTTTGCAGTATATGTAAAGAACCTTAAAAAATGATTAGGCCTGGCAGGTATGGCTCAGTGGTTGAGCATCAACCCATGCACCAACAGGTTGCCAGTTCAGTTCCTGGTCAGGGTACATGCCCAGGTTGTGGACCAAATCTCCAGTGGGGGCATGCAGGAGGCAGCCAATTGATGTTCTCTCTCATCAGTGTTTCTCTCTCCCTCTCCCTTCCTCTCTCTGTAAAATCAATAAATAAAGAAAGAAAACAAAAAAATGATCAGACAGTTGGGTAGATTTATGCGTAAAGATGTTCCAAGCTAATTAATTAAAAACTGCCCATTGGAAATATAAACCTAAAATGTTTCCAGGGCAGTATTTAAAGTATATACATCCTTTTTTTTTTATTCTTCACCCGAGGATATTTTTTCGTTTATCATCAGATAGAGTGGGAGGGAGAGAGAGAGAAACATCGATGTGATAGAGCCACATTGACTGGTTGTCTCCTGCATGACCGCAACACAGGTATGTGCCCTTGACCAGAATCGAACCCATGACTCGTTGTTTTGTGGGCCGACACTCTAACCGCTGAGCCAAACTGGCTAGGGCAGTATATATACATCCTTAATATAGACTACTATACCACAATTAAAAATGAAAATTTTAAAATAGAGTAACCATTTCAGAGAATTCTCAAGCTCAATTTTATTTTAAAAATGTTATATTGCTAGAAAGAAATACTGCTCAGAAAAACACCCAAATGTGTGCAGTAGTTTTCTCTTGGTGTTGGCATTAGAGATTATTTTAATTTCTCCTTGACAGCTTTCTTTACATTCCTTATTCTGTGCAATGATCAAATATTCCTTTAATAAACAGGAAAAAATAAATTTTTTTTAAAGATTCTCTTGAAGGATGGTATCTGGTATCTTAAAAACAAAAAGTTGTCAGAAATGAAGCTTTGAAATTACAAAACACTTTCATAAAGGTTCTAGCTCCAAAATATTTACTTTTTATTTAGGAGTGTTGACATACTAATTAATGTGACTTAATTCAGAATTTGAGTGCCTTCTGTGCTTAGGTATTTAAATTGTCTGTATTTGTTAAGTTCTACTTAGCAATGTCAGTGTAATTGACACATACATCAGTTGTGGTAGGGGACATCTTAATAACTCTTTTCACCTCCACCAAAATATAACTCCCTACCCTTAACCTTTTTCTTGATCACTATTTTGTAGCCCTTCTTTTTTTATTGTTGTTAATCCTCACCCGAGGATATTTTTTCCATTGAATTTTAGAGAGAGTGGAAGGGAGGGAGGCGGAGAGAGAGAGAAACATCAATGTGAGAGAGACCCATCGATTGGTTGACTCCCGCACACGCCCTCACTGGGGCTGGGGATGGAACCTGCAACCCAGGTATGTGCCCTTGACTCAGAATAAAACCCACGACCCTTCAGTGTGGGGTTGACACTCTATCCACTGAGCCACATGGGCCAGGACTTATAGCCCTTCTTTTTAGTGTAAGTAGAGAGCGGTTAAGTTATAGGCTACATGGCCCATGTAGAGCGTTGCTTCCTTCCCTTACATATCCGAGAAGTTAACTGTGGGTCAGGGCTCTGTTCACATAGGGTAGGAGGTGCTGTCTTCCCTCCTTCATCCAGGCATATGACACTGATAGAGGGTCAGTATCCAGAGCTGAGCTTCACGAGGCTTCAGACATTCTCTAGAGCAAGTTTCATCAACCTCAGCTCTGACAGTCCCGACCAGATCATTCTTTGCTGTGGGGACTGTTCTGTCCACGCAGGATGCTCAGTGCATTCCTGGCAGATGCCTAGATGCCAGCAGCATTTCCTACCACCACGTCACGACAATAAAAATGGCTGCAGACACCCCCAGTTGAGAACCACTGTCGCCCAGTCAGTTATCAGGCCCCCACCCCAGCCCACGCAGTAGCAGCACCTGGATGACCGATCTAGTTAAAACGCAATGATCACTTTTATTAGTGGTTTTATATTTTCTTCCCATAAATATCTTCTCTTTGCAAGTGTATTGATAAATACACTTTAACATGTATGCATTTATAATCTTCCTTAGGATTTTTTTTTATTACTAATAGGTATGTTGTTATACTTAGGCTAAGAATAACTCTGAATTTTACATAATATTATAGTTAATGATTTTAAATAAACTACACAGAAGATTTCCTAATTAATTTCTTAATGCCTTTGGATGACTTTAAACCATTACCAGTATCCAGCACTTTAGTTTGAATTGATCACATCAAATTTAGCCAGTGCTTATAAGCTGGATTTTGTTTTTATACAAAATCTTAAATAGAATGGTTGCTTTGCCTTGATGTTAAAATTACAAGTGAGTTTTACATTCTTCCCACTAATTTGTACTTTATTTCTCTTGAAAAACCATTTTTTCCTGTGGTGACTTTATCTTTCTAAAGTCGCCACATGCGGGAAACTGGCTGCTCTCTAAGTCTTTGGAACTCACCTAGGCTAGTGATGGATGCCTGGCCCAATGCCGAACGGTAGCTCATGTGCAATGAATTTAGTTGAAACCGTTTTCCATTTGTTATTTCCATGCTTTCTATAGGCATTGAAACACCCGTATTTTCAAGTTGGTCAAGTATTAGGTCCTTCCTCACATCATCTGGAATCGAAACAGACTTTGCATAAACAGGTGCAACCACTAGAATCGAAGGCACCTTTAATTGACCTAGAACCTAAGCCTCTTCCAGACATAAATGATCAGAGTGCCAGGCAGCTGCAGCCAAAACACAGCCACCAGCCACTGCAGTCCATCCAGCCGCCCCCGAACACGAGTGTCCAGCAAGCGCCAAGCCAGCAGAGCCAACAGAAACAGCCGCAGACGCTGTTTCCATGTATCATCAAGGACATGCCAACCGTGAGTAGCCCGTGATGCTTTAGGGGCAACGGTTTGACTAGTTCACCTAGGATTTCATTTCTAGGCATTCCTAAAAATGTCAGGGAAGACATAAAAGGTTGTTCTTGTCAGAGCCTCTGCTTCCTCTGGCAGGAGCTTGGCATGAGATTACTAAAGTTCTAAAATGAAACCTCAGAATGAACATAATCAAGTTTGCATGCTACGGACTTTCTTTAAGTTACTTAGATGCAGAACTAAAAAGACTAAAAAGAACTAAAAAGTTCTTTTACAAAGAACTAAAAAGACTCTGGGGCAAAAGAGAGGATTTTTTTTTTTTTTTTTTTTTTTATCCTCACCCGAGGACATTTTTCCATTCTTTGTTCAGGTAGAGTGGGAGGGAGAGAGAGGAACAGAGAGAGAGAGAGAAACAGCGATGTGAAAGGAACACATCGAGTGGCTGTCACCCGCACAACCGACCAGGGCCGGGGACAAACTGCAACCGAGGTACATGCCCTTAGCGGCAACCGAACCCGGGTCTCCCAGGACCGCAGGCCGACGCTCTAACCACTGAGCCAAACCAGCCAGGGCGGATTTTTTTTTTTTAATCCTCACCCGAGGACATTTTTTTTCCATTTTTTGTTCAGATAGAATGGGAGGGAGAAAGAGGAAGAGAGAGAGAGAGAAATGTCGACATGAAAGGGACACATCGAGTGGCTGCCACCCACACGACCAACCAGGGCCGGGGACAAACTGTAACTGAGGTACGTGCCCTTAGTGGGAACCGAACTCCGGTCTCTCTGGACCGCAGGCCGACGTTCTAACCACTGAGCTAAACCGGCCAGGGTGGATTTTTTTTTTTTTAATAATCCTCACCCAAGGATATTTTTCCATTTATCTTCAGATAGAGCCTGGGGGTGGGAGAAACATCGATGCAGGAGACATTGATTGGTTGCTTCCTGAATGACCCCAACCAGGACTGAACCTCAACTGAGGTACATGCCCTTGGCTGGAATCGAACCCGTGACTCTTTGTTCCACAGGCCAACACTCTAACTACTGAGCCAAACTGGCCGGGGCTAAAGTCTCTTCTTATAAAGGCACTAATCCCATCACGAGGGCCTCACCCTCATGACCTCCTATAATCCCCAGTTACCCCCTAAAGGCCCCATCTCCAAATATCATCACAGTGGAGTACAGATTTGGGAGAGGGGAACATATAAATTCAGGGGGGATGTAAACATTCAGTCCGTAACAGTGCTGCTTCACCTTTGTTGTCCTTTCGTTCCTCCATTTCATTGACGGCACGAAAGACCCTACCACCTGCTGTACTGAATGAAGTCCACGTGGATTATGTGTTCATGGTTCGCTTTTTATGAAAAATGGTGGCCACTTTTATTACCAGTGCCCAAAAGCTTCCCTTTAATAAATAAGCTTAGACTCTTTTCCCTCGTTCTATACTGACCTTGTTAATAAGGAGTTTGTAAAAATCCACCTCTACTTTATAAAAATTATATTTTCCCCTTTCCAGTTTTTGCAAACATACAGAACTGCTTGATATTACTGACATTGTTTAGCAGCAAACGGCATCAGCTCCCTAAAATACATAATTCAACTGAAGTAAGAGTCTTGAACTCAGTTAAATTTAACCTCTAATTAACTCTACTCCTCTGGGGCTTTAAATATTTTTATTCTCACCCAGTGGGTGTGGCTCAGTGGTTGAGCATCGACCCATGCACCAAGAGGTCGCCAGTTCGATTCCTGGTCAGGGCACATGCCCAGGTTGTGGGCCAGATCCCCAGTGGGGGACATGCAGGAGGCAGCCAGTCTGTGTTCTGTCTCATCAATGTTTCTCTCTCCCTCTCCCTTCCTCTCTGTCTAAAATCAATAAAGAAAAAAATTTTTTTAAGAATTTTATTCTCCTTAGTCTGGAGCTCATGGTCTCTGACAGGAAACAATAGCGTCATGGAATTTAGCAAATAACACTTTTTGTCATTATCCATCACTGACACCATCAGCTTCAAGCAGTAGCATATCTATTCTTGAAGCATCTTCTTGCTCCCGACATACCTGTATTTACTGACCTTGCTTCCAAATTCCCTAATTTTCTTTTTTTTTTTCATCCTCACCCGAGGACACCTTTCGATATTTTGTTCAGATAGAGTGGGAGGGAGAGAGATAGAGAGAAACATTGATGTGAAAGGGACACATCGAATGGTTGCCACCCACATGACCCAACCAGGGCCGGGGACAAACCGCAACAGAGGTACATGCTCTTAGCGGGAACCGAACCCAGGTCTCTCTGGACTGAAGGCCAATGCTCCAACCGCTGAGCCAAACCGGCCAGGGCTCAAATTCCCTAGTTTTCAATTGCCTTTTAGATTTTTTAGTATACATGTCTCCAAACCAACTCATGTAAATTTTAATAAAACCAACTCATTGTCTGTCCCAAGCCAGGTGTTCTTCCTCATTCCTTATTTCTATTAAAAGAACCACTATTCTCAGATGATCGGGCTCAGACATTGTTGTTGTTAATCCTCACCTGAGGATATTTTCCCATTGATTTTTAGATAAAGTAGCAGCTAGGGAGGGCAGGAGAGAGAAACATCGTGAGAGACACACATCGATTGTTTGCCTCCCGCACAACTCCAACCAGTGTCAGGGATGGAACCTGCAACCCAAGTACGTGCCTTTGACCAGGAATCGAACCCGAGACCCTTTGGTCTGCAGGCTGATGCTCTAACTGCTGAACCAAACTGGCCAGGGCCAGACTCAGACTTTTAAAGTGTCCTTGCCTTTCCTTCTCTGTATCCACCGGGATTACATATAGTGACAAGTTTATGACAGAAACCTGAACACTGTGGCATAAACAATAAGGGGTTATTTTTCTCTCATAAGAAGTCGGGTGGTGGGAAGCCAGGGCTGGTGCTGCTTGTAAAAGTAACCAGACTGCGCCTGGCCGGTTTGCTCAGCGGTTAGAGCTTCGGCCCGCAGACCGGAGAGTCCTGGGTTGGTTCCCGCTAAGGGCACGTACCTCGGTTGCAGTTTGTCCCCGGCCCTGGTTGGGGTCGTCTGGGTGGCAGCCACTCGATATGTCTCTCTCACATCGATGTTTCTTTCTCTCTCTTCACCCCTCTCTCCCTCCTGCTCTAATGGAAGATAAATGCAAAAAAAAAAAAAAAAGTAACCAGACTGCTTCTGACTTTCTGTTCTACCACCCTGAGCCAGCAGCTTTTCTTCCTGTGGACACAAGGTGATTGTTGCTCCTGTAGGGTCGCATCTACCTGCTAGAAGGGGGAAGAGTGAAAGACACTGGCACACGCTCGCAAAGTCTACAAATGTCTCTCCTGGAAGTCCCTCCCCATAGACTCGTCCTGACAGCTCACTAGCTAGAGTGTCAGGTAGCTACACAGAGCTGCAAGTGAGGCGGGGAATTCGGACATTGTAACTGGACATGTTGCTGCATTGAACAAAATATTAGGAAGAAAGGGAGAATGGTTACTGGGTAGGCAACCAGCAGGGTCTGCCATACTCTCCTCTGGCCTCTGTTGAGATAGTCATAAACTCTGGACCTTTTATTCTCTGTTAATAGTAAATGTATTTTTTTGTTTTTTTTTTTTTTTAATCCTCACCCGAGGACATTTCTCCATTTTTTGTACAGATAGAGTGGGAGGGAGAGAGAGAGAGAGAGAAACATCGATGTGAAAGGGACACATCGAGTGGCTGCCACCCGCACAACCAACCAGGGCCGGGGACAAACTGCAACCGAAGCACGTGCCCTTAGCGGGAACCGAACCTGGGTCTCTCCGGACCGCAGGCCGACGCTCTAACCGCTGAGCCAAACCGGCCAGGGCAGTAAATGTATTTTAATGTGTTCTTTACAAACACTGAATCCGTGGTCCTTGTCACTGCATGCTGCTGTAACTTCAAGGCCTCCTGTTCGAAGCCTGCCCTTTTTAGCATGCCGCCTTTATCATATCACTTTTCTTTTTTTAGCTCAAAACATCCAGTGTTCTCCATTACCCACAGGGAAGCTGCAGTTTCTTAGGCAGACATCGAAGGCCCTTGATAACGTAGCGTCCGTCTGTCGGGGCAGCCCTGTCCTCCACTACTTCAGCACAAACCACCTGCTTCTGCAAACAGTCTACCCTTTCTTCCTGGAATGAACTCTGGCACTTTCCTGTTAAAGGGGACATTTTTATGCACGTCCTCTTCCAAACTAATAATAACCTAACCTTCAGTGAGTCTTACGTGCTAGGCTACCTTAAGTAAGGACGTTCAGTGTATTTTACTATTGAATTCATAAACAACAGCTTAAATAAATACTATATGTTCCCATTTAAGGAGGAAGAAACTAAGGCTTTGAGAAGTTAAGTCACTTGCCCAAAGAGACACAGCCACACATGGCAGTTCCCCGAATTACACGTCAGTGAAGAGTCCATTTTGATCCTCAGCATTCAAACCTTCCTCCAAATCAAGTTCACAGGGATCTCTCCCTGCTCTCAATTCCTGTATTTTTAGCATATGCTGCCTCTATTTTTGTAAATACTTTTAAATGTGTGTATGTTTGTATGTTACTTCCTTCACTGTATGGAAGGCTCCTTGAGAAGGGGGACTTTTAGTATCAAATATAACAACTGGTGCATAAAAGGCCTTCAGATGATTCCAGATGCTGATGACTGATTTTCCACCACAGAAGCCAAGTGGCGTGCTGGGGCATAAAAGCGCTAGGAGGCGTTGGGGTCAGACTGTGTTCAAGTCTGGAGACAGCTGGGAAGAGTCTGAGGACTGTGATTTTGGAACCTCCCATTCCAAGAAGCCAAGCATCAGTGTTTTCAAAGAAAAGAGGAGAAAAGATTCTTCATTTCGGTAAGATTTTAGATTCCTCTAGGAGGTATGTTTTTATCATGCATCAACTTTATTTTACTCATCAAATATAAGTAGCTTAAAACTAAGTCGCCTCTGAAAAGGTAAGATTCTTGACTTCTCACAGTAAGGGTCTAGTGTTAATGGCTGAATGTTGCAGGTGTGTGGAGGAAGGGATTCTTTTTTTTTTTATCCTCACCCGAGGACATTTTTCCATTTTTTGTTCAGATAGAGCAGGAGGGAGAGAGAGGAAGAGAGAGAAAACATCAACGTGAAAGGTACACATCGGGTGGCTGCCACCTGCACGACCCAACCAGGGCTGGGGACAAACCACAACTGAGGTATGTGCCCTAGCGGGAACCGAACCCGGGTCTCTCTGGACTGCAGGCCAACGCTCTAACCGCTGAGCCAAACTAGCCAGGGCTGGTGAACATTTTTGGAAAATAGTTTCCTTTATTTTTTCTCTCTTTGGAACAGAACAGGAATAGGGAGAAAAGATGTGGCACGAGTCAGGAAAATTTGTCTAATAGCTGTTTGGTATTATATAGTGCAGCATCTTCATTTTGGGCTACACAGACCTCCGAAGGTACATGAAGACTCTCTAAGGGGGACACATGCCTAGATAAGTCTTAGTCAAACAATTTCTAGATCCTCGAGTTCCACAGGACTCATCCTAAAATACATGAGGTGGAGAATAAACCTGCTTAATCACCTCCCACTTTGCCAGAGAGTCACACCTCTTAGGCATTTCAAATCTTGCATGGCATAAGGGCATAACAGCCTGCATGATGCTAAACAAGGGAGAGATCAGAAAACTGCCACCTTCAGCTGGAGGCTTTCTGTCTCCTTGTCTTACACACGTTTCTCCAAAGGGGAAAAGCCCGCGTAGAAATAGGGTGTTTCCCAGATTCCTAGATACAGAGAACTTTTTGTTGCTTGCCAGCTGGGGGGATGGGTGAAAAAGATAAAGGAATTAAGAAGTACAGATTGGTTGTTAGACTGATGAACCTCAAAGGAAAGGGGGGAGGGAGGGCAGGATAAGATAAACAAACCAAAGAACTTCTCTGCATATGTGCACAACCAATGGACACCGACAACAGTGTGGGGAAGGCAGGAGGGGGGCGGGATTAGGGAGGAAGGGGTCAATGGGGAAAAAAAGAGACATCTGTAATATATTGAACAATAAAGATGAGTTAAAAAAGAAAAAAGAAATAAGGTGTTTCCATGCGTGGGAAAGCATGGAGATTCAGAGCCACTTGAAGGACTAGAGCCTAGTGATGCTTTTTGTTTTAAGTGTACTAGAATGTTTTGTGAAACTATCTGCTATTTTTTTGTTCAGATAGAGAAGGAGGGAAAGAGAGGATATAACCTATGGATATAAATTATACATAATTTTTGAAGACTCAGAGTGTTTCATGGAATAAGGTAGTTAAAAACTTACTGAGTAATACCATGAAATACTCCAATTACAGCCAGTGCTCACAATATTTCATCCTACAGAATATTTACTTTTTTATCTGCCATTAATTGGTAACAAGAAATAAAGTTATTTAATTTATGATGAAAAATTATAGACTTCAACTTAAACATGTGCAGGGAGCTACATAGTTTTTTTTTTTTTTTTTTTAACAATTCTTTGCATCTGGAAGCAAAAGAGTTTGAAGACCATTTGTTGTGGTATGTAGATGATTTGAAAAGTTCTCTTTTTAAAACCATGTCCTTCTAATTCCAGCTGAACTTTATCATATACAGGGATGGGCAAAAGTAGATTAATAATAAGTAATACAATAATTAATAAATAATAATACAAGAATGAACTTTTGCATACTCACAACTCTAAACCTACTTTGCCCACCCCTGTATTTTTAAGGGTAGAAGATGTTTGAATCAAAAGGTATAGTTAAGATCAGGTTTGTAGTCTATATACTTGATTCTGGCAAGGGGACAATTGGTAAATTTCTTCAACATTAAATACTCCTTTTCTCTTGAAATTCTTTAGAAAAAGAGAAACTATATAACAATGACTTTTTAATGTATATTCTATTTTTATGTTTTTTTAAATCTTTAAATGGCCTTATGTACTTTAAACATGTAATAATTATTAATACACTACCACTTGTTAAGCACCTGGCTAAATTTTATTTGTAATTTTCATACTTCAGTAAAAATATCTGCAGAATAGGACACTGAGCCTCAGATAGGTTCAATAAGTAGGTCACCCAAGGTCAGATGAGGTTTAATTCAAACCCAGATCTCGTCTCTTCTGTGCCGCTACTGCTTAAGCAACAGGAGCTCAGATACTTGGTGAACTGCTTGAACTCTGTCTTCTCTGCTCATTTTCTCAGGCAGCCTGGTCTTCCCCATAAAGAATACAAAATACCAAATACTGAAGTATAAAACCTTTACTTAATGGTTATCTTCTTTTAGATTCTTATACTAAATTATATTAATACTTATATTCACACTTGGTAGACATTTACTAAATAGTTGGTTGGTATTAAACAGAGGTGTGAACATAATAGTCTGTCTTCTATTCATCAAATGTATAGCAGCAGAAATAAGACCTTCAAGTAACTATAACACAAGATTGACTGTGTATTAAGGGCCACTAATGAGAGAGCTGCAGGGAGCTAGCTCTAAGAGTTCTGTTTATGGGCAAACCACTTTGAGGAGAGGAAGGTCTTTCTAGAGTAAACAGTTTCAAAAATGAGTAGAATTTCAGCAATTGGTGTAACTACAGTAGGCGGGGATGTTACCGGTGGGGAGAGGTCCTCCTCACCGGTTGCTGATGGGAGTGGGCTTCTTGCGATATCTTGACAAAAGGAATTTCCTGAGACTCGTGCAGGAGGATGAGGTAGTGTAGAAAGCCTTTTTTCTATGGAATCAAATCTCTGAGTTTCCAAGGTCCCATTTCCCTTTGTTGGACCAAGGAAGAAGTGTAGCTGTGGCTTCAGGAGGTCTAGAATCAGAGCCAGTGTCCAGAATTTTCGCTCCATACCGGAGCAGTATCCAGTCCAGCATCAGGCTAGCTTAGTCTATGTTCCCAGTTGCAGTCCATCAGTTTATTGTGTGTGGGTCCGCATGGCTGTGGACCTCACGGGTGAATGCAAGAGAGCGAAGAGACGAAATTCCTTTGTGGGATTATGTATTCCCAAACCTGTGTAGGCTTGCAGTGGCTCTGCCTACTCTAGCCAATCCATGGTTCCCCAGGCTTGATGGACAGGCACTTTGCTTGTGTCACCCACCTCATTGTGCGTGCGTTCACCTCCCCTTAGTGATCTGCAGGGAATGGGCCGGTGGTTCCCTGGGGAGTGTGAAATTGCAGCTTCCTGGAGAAGCTGCCCAAATGACATGCCTATACTCCTGGCCTTCCCTTTGCTTCTCTCCTATTAGTAATAACTAGCTAATTAAAACAGTATCAAGGGGAAGGGAAAGAAGTCAGAAATGGGGGAGACAGTTTTTAATGAAGGGGGCCTACCTTTGTCTAGGGCCGTCCCAGAGTGGGCTGGGGTGGCCAGCAGTTCAGAGGGCCAGCCAGGCCAGTGGCGGTCTCCAGGGAGTCCCAACCAACCACACCGATTTAGACTTCACTTTGGGAGACAGGTGACAGGGCTGTGATCGTCCTCCCTTTCCACATGCTGCATCCCACACTTGACATCCACAGCTGCAGCAGCCTTGGGGAGACAGAAACATACACAGGCAATTTGCTGCTCAGTTAGAAAGCTTTCTGTCACGTGATGTCTAGTATTAGAAATTATTCTGTGCACTGCCTAATATTTATTGGGAGGAAAAGGTTGTCTGTTAGTGTTCCTATGAGGAAAAGGACTCTGATAGATCCATTTAAGTGAGGTCACCTCGACGCTTTTGAAAAGATGTGCAAAGGGTGGGTGAGAACACAGCGTCTCCTCTCATCCTTCATGCTGTGATGCTGCCTTATGTTGACTTTCAAGGCCCCCAGAGTCAGTGCCCTCAGGCTCCAACCACTCAGCAGGGGAAAACAAGAGCTTACCTGCTGCTGTTTCCCTAAAATCGGAATCCGAACTGTCAACTGCTTCAACAGCTAAACAGTACTACTTGAAGCAATCAAGGTATCTTCCAGGTAAGTGCAGAAAATAAAATGTTTACCGCTAACAATATAGAGAAGTCGGGCTCACGTGTCTGGGACTCGTTTTTGGAAGGGCGCCCGTGGAGGAGTACGGTCACAGTGCCCTTTGCTAGTTCAGCCTTGTCGGCGCTCGTACCGGGAACTTTTCTGGGCCTCCTGCCGCCGTGAAGTCTGCTCGAGCAATGTCAGCAGCCAAAAATCAAGATGAAGAACATGACTCAACAAAATAGCAGCCCCCCCTCCTAAGCTTTGCCAAAGGAAATGCCAAATTTTATCAAAACAAATCTGCACCCCCAATACGACCTTCTGTAAGATGTAGAATTTTATACTTTTCCCTAAATGATCTGATTTATGTTTTTGAAAGATCATTTGGGCTGCTGAGTAGAACATGCTAGGGGCTCAAGAAGGGCAAGGAGACAGGTCAGAAGCCGTTGCATGTGTCTGGAGAGAGAAGATACTGGCTTGTTCCAGAGTGGTAACAGCAGGTCGAGAAATGGGTAACATCTAGATGCACTGCAGGAGCGGAACAGACAGGACTTGCTGAATGATTAGCATGGGTAACAGGGTCCCTGCTTGCCAGGAGCTACTTCCCAGCGGAGAGAGAAAAGGGAAATCAGCAGGTAGTGGCAAGTGCTGCTGTGAAACAGGGAATGAACTAGAGAGACTGCGGAGGGTGGGTGGGGGCGGGGTCCTTGGTTCTCTGACGTCTGAGCTGATACCAGAAGATGAGCAGGAGGCAGTCATGGAAGAGCTGAGAAGAGATGTTTCAGACAGTGGGAAAGACACTGGCTAATTTGAGAGATAAAACTTGGAGTTTATGGGCTTAGGGGAGAGCGGTGGGAGGGGAGGTGGGGAACTCTGGCAGGTTCACATGCTACCGCCCCTTGAAGGTGAGGGAGGAACCCGGGTGTATTCCGAGTCCAGTGGCGGCCTTTGAGAGGACGTAAGGAGGTGAGGGACAGGTGATCTCTAGGTTAGAAAGACTCCGTGTGAAGAATGGATTTCAGGAGGACAAGACCGGAAGGTAGGAGGCCGGTTGGGAAGCTGCTGCAGTCCTCTGGGTAAAAGGTGGTGACAGTTCAGAGGGAAGGGCTCGTGACATATTTGGATGGACTTGCGGATGGATGTTGGTGGGAAATGAGTTTGGGGCATGAATCTTGGGTGGATTGTGGGCCGTGTTCTGAGCCGGGGAAGACGAGGAGGAACAGGATTGGGTGGGGACGAGGCAGTCGATCCCATCTCGGGGCTGTGACGTGTGAGGTGCTTGTGAAACTCCGGTGTGGAGAGGCCAAGCAAGCACTTGGAGGGAAAGAGCCAGGAACCCTGAGGAAGGAGCTCGAGCCCAAGACAACAGCTGTGGGAGTCCCCAGTGACTCCCAGACAGTGTTTAAAGCCATGGACTGAGTAGGATCGCCTGTGGACAGTGAGCTGGAACCAGTAGAGGAGGAGGAGGAGCTAGGAGGGGAAAGGAGCAGCCAGACAGAGGAGGGGCAGAAACCACAGCATGGTGGTGTCCACAGGCTGAGAAGGGAGAGCTGACCTGAAAGAGGTGTTTGCCGCTGAGCAGTGGGATAAGGGTAGAAATGTCTGGTGAAATTGGACAGTGGAGAGGTCCCTGTCTGGAACAGGGAGGGAGGTCAGGGTGGGATGGGTTGAAAAGTGATAAGAAATCAATGACTGCAAAGATAGACAACTCTTTGGTGGCATGTGGCTGGGAAGAGGAGCTTGGACATGGAGCAACCAGAATGGGGGTGCAGGGGGGGGGCTTTAGAGCAGGTTTGCCGGTGGGTGGGAATGATCCCTTCCAGAGGGAGGGACTGATAATGGCAGAAGGGGAGAGGAATCAATGAGGGAATGAAAGGCTTAAGAAGGTGAGAAGAGTTGGAGTTAAGACCATAAGAGATGGGGTGCACTTTTAAAAGAAGCAAAGATATTTGTGTTGTAAACTCTATTTAGATACCAGTAGGTTTGTAAATATTCGTGTTGAAGCCATGAGGGAGTTCTGATCTGACTGCAAAAGCAGGAGAGTAAGAAAGTTCGCAGAACAGAGATTCGTGGGAGGCACTCTTCCCTGTTCTTTGTTTTTTTGTTAAATCAAGTACACTTCACTGATTGAAATGTAGCGAATCCAGAGATGTGATACCTACAGAAATGAGCCCTCTGGTGGTGAGAAAGGCTACTGTAAATTTTTCTCAGGATAAATGGATCCAAAGCACCCCATTATCATAGTTCTGCCTCCTAATGTAGTTTTCAGTAATATATTTCAGGGTATCTGAGACCGTCTGACTGTGTCCTTTTTAAACAGAAAGATCTAAAAATTCTGAAAATTACTTTGGATCAAAAGTATGGCTGTAATTGAGATTTAAGAATTAGACTCAAAATTAGAAAGAATTGTTTGAAATCTAAACTTGAGCTTTCCTGTTTACCCTATTGACATTTTTTTTTCTTTTTTTCTTGAAGATGGTCCCTCTAGAGCTGGTGAGAGTTGGAAATAGAATTGAGCTCAGTTCAGTCACTTGGACAAACATTTATTGAGCACCTACCTATCATGAGCAACTGTGGAGGCTAAAACCCAAATGAGAAGTGGGCCTTCACATTTGTGATCCAAAGTGATTTTTATAATGGAGTATCTTCAGGAATTAAAAAAATCTCTTTGGTGGCTTTTTTTTTTTTTTACATAAAGCCAAATATAAAGGGTCTTATTAAACATCAACCTTTAGGATCATGGGAACTCTAGAAATGTACCATACAATTTCAAGGCAACATGACATTCCACGACAAGGATGGGCAGATCTGTGACACTGGCCTTCAGGGGGGGAGATGCAAGCGTCCGTTCTTGACCAGCTGCTGACCGGCTGTGTACTGGAGCAGGACTGAGATCTGTTTTCGATTTCTTACAAGGGGACTGCAGTCATCAGCTCACCCTGTAAGCCTTAGGTACTGAGTTACAGCAAGGTAGTTGCAATAGAGCCTGCAGAGGAGGCGCTGACATCTCTCCGTGGTGCCGTCCGGTCTCTGCCCGGCTCCCAGAACCAGGACTCTCCAGTTGAATGGATGCCACCATGCTGGCAGGAAGACAGCTCACTCCACAGCACCGTTGAAACCCTGGTCTGTGGGTCCTTCTCAAGTCCCAGTTACCACTGAGTGTCCTTCCTTCCACCCTGTGTATTCAATGTCCTGTATCATTTCTGTACTTATCACTCCTGCTAATGTAAAATGTCTTAACTTGACATTTGTGATGTGCCCTCTCCACCTCCTTTTGTGCCACTCCTTGGGCTTGCCCCGTCCACACTGACGTCTCAGTTCTCCCACCTCAGGCGCAGGGCAGCACTGTTGCCTCTCCCAGGATCATACCCCTCCCCCTACCGGTTCTAACCAGGATTCACATCTCAACTGAAAATTACTTTTTTAAAAATCCCAACACAAGAATATGTTTTTACTGATTCTAGAGTGAGGGAAAGGAAGAGAGAGAGAGAGAATAAAGAAAAAGAAAGACAGACACTTCTAGGAATATATCCTAAGAAGCCTGAAACACCAATCAGAAAGAATATATGTACCCCTATGTTCATAGCAGCACTATTTACAATTGCTAACATCTGGAAACAACCCAAGTGTCCATCAATAGATGAGTGGATAGAAAAGCAGTGGTACATATACACAATGGAGTACTACGCAGCTGTAAGAAAGAAAGATCTCTTGTCCTTTGAGACAACATGGAGGAACCTCAAGAGTATTATGCTAAGTGAAATAAGCCAATCAGAGAAAGACAAATACCACATGATCTCACTTATTTGTGGGATATAATAAACAAGGTGGGCTGATGAACAAAATAGACCCAGAGACATAGAAAGGAGTACGGTTCAAACTGACAAACCTCAGAGTAGGGGGGCGGGGGGGATGGATGAAACGAACCAAAGAACTTATATGCATGTGTGCGTAACCAATGGACATAGACAACAATATTAGGGGGATGGGGAGGGTGGGATGGGCAGGAGGGGGTCTAGGGAGGGGGGAGGAGAAACATCTGTAACAAATATAAATTAATAAAAATTGGAGTAAAAAAAATAAAGACTGCCAGAAAGAAATACTGATGTGAGAGAATCATCACTCCATTGCTTCCTTACGCACCCCTACGGGGTTCGAACCCACAACATTTTGATGTATGGGATGATGCTTCAACCAACTGAGCAACCCAGCCATGGCAAAATTACTTTTTTTTTTAAGAAAGACTGGTTTAATTGCTTCTATTATTTGCCCCTCAGTGCCAAATTCTTATAAACAGTTTGAATACTGCTAATTATTTACATAATGATTCATAACTATTAATGTCTCCCGTCTTATTAGAGTAGATTATAAGAGCCAAAAGGGTGGACACTGGTCTGTTTTGTTCACCACTTTTTAAAATTGATTTTTAGAGAGAGAGGAAGGGAGAGGGAGGGACAGAGAGAAACATTGATGAGAGAGGACATCGATTGGCCGCCTCCTGCATGCCCCCCACTGGGGATTTGGCCCACAATCTGAGCATGTGCCCTGACCGGAATTGAACCGGTGAGCTCTTGGTGCATAGGTCAATGCTCAACCAGTGAGCCACACTGGCCAGGCTGTTGTTTTATTTATTTATTTTTTTCAAATCCTCACCCAAGGATATTTTTTCATTTATCTTCAGACAGAGTGGGAGTGAGAAAGAGAAACATCCATGTGAGAGACACTGACTGGTTACCTCCCACGCGACCCCGACCAGGATGGGGGACCAAACTGCAACCGAGGTACGTGCCCTTGACTGAAATCAAACTCAAGACTCTCTGGTCTGTGGGCTGACGCTCTAACCGCTGAGCCACACTGGCCAGGGCTTGCATTTTGTTTTTAGATACAGATTTTTTAAAAATATGAGTGCATTTTTTGATTGTCAGGTAATGGCCTGTTATAGTTCTATTTATATGTGTTCTGTTAGAAACCAAAATCCACAAGGAGCTGTATCCCGTAAGGAAGGGAAATTATTTACCTGGTGGAGTGTTTCCTTAGCAACTGATGACAGGTGATCTTGAAGCTGAGTACACAACAACCAGGCTTGTTTCTGGCTTCAAAGCAAGGCTGTTCCTCTAGGTCTCTCTCACAAAAGTGAACCCTGCCGAGGAATTTTGTTTGTGGAAAGCAAAAGCTCAGGCCGCCTGGAAACTGTTGCTGGCTTCGCACATCAGTGGTGGTCCTCAGGGAGGCTCTGTCAAACGGGCTAAAGGAATCGCCCAGGTGTGGCCCAGAGCCTTAGGCTGTGTGATGTCTCTAGGGCCTCCTACGTTGAATTCAATTTTATTGACAATAAAAAGAAAGGAAGATTTCAAGTCTCTTAAAAGTAGTTTAAACCAACACCCTTTGACCACTAGTATCAAAGTCTGAGGTTGAATCCACATTTCAGATTTCAGAAAACCATAAATCATTTGACTGCTGAGATTTTACTCTGTGTAGTGTAGGAAGACGCTTCACAGACAGATCTTTACGCACCTGCCTCAGAACTTCCCGGCCCCCTCGTTCGTGGTCACGTCTCTTGTCACAGCCGTACCAGGTGGTCCTCAGGGTCTGGCGCAGACTCAAAACAAGTGATGACCTGGAAATGTCTTTTTGAAGAAAATTTTTGTACCACCTTAATTTTTACCAAGTATTTAGCAAGAAATAGCCAATGTTTAGTTATTACTTGTGTTACAGAAAATACCTTATGTTTATAAAATACACTGGGAGGATTTCAGGTTATTGTGCTTCGGGCTTAGGATCACAATAGGGTTCAGAAAAAAGCAAGTATTTGCTACACTGTAACCAAAAGTTATTTCCACTCTCTTCCCCCTCAAAGTTATTTCTAATCTTTGTTTGAATGTATAATATATGTTTTCCTTCAAGTTTATGATTACACTCTAAACTGTGAAATGACTGTTTTGTTCTTCTAAGGTGTGAACCCTAAGAACGTGTCTTTGATAGCCAGTGGGAAGGATGCAGATCCGTATACTTGGAGTAATCAGTTATTTCCTAAGTCGTTGAGACCCATTGGGGCAGGACTTGCTTTCAAAAGGAGTAATGCAGGTAAAGCAAGAATACATTTAAGGTATAAATTGTCATTGTTTATCTTCTGCAGATTTTCACTTTTAAATGTATTGCAGCTGCCTCCTTCCAACCACGATACCCTGGGGAGACAAAGGTTTCCACCTGGTACCTGAGCACAGCTAGTTTTAAGGGAATCATTTGCCAGATCTCAACTTCCATACGGATTCTTTCCTAAAATGAATCTGCCTGAACAAGTGTTTCTGTTCTCCTACTTTACAAAAGAAAAGAAGACTTCTCACTGTTTACTATGGTGTGTTTCCATTTCCCCGAAGTGTAAAATGTCTGGGGTGCCCATGAAAGGGGCAGTTTGATGTGTTGGTGTCAGGTGTGCGACAGTGACTGGGGCACAAAGCCTTGTTAGGTCAGGTGGTTTCCAGTTCTTAACTTTCAAAACAAATTGAAGGAGAACCTAACTGAGTTCTTAGCTGGCAGATAAGTAAAAATCACTTTTTATGAGATCACTATATGACTTTTGGTCTATGATTTAATAGAGTTCGAAGACTACAGCGAGAAAGCTTAACAACACACCTTTCATTCCCAACTATTTGTTTATGTTAACAAGGTTTTTCAGGGCTTCTAGCTAAAAAAAAAAAAAAAGTAAAAAAATTGATGTTGAATGCTGTCTGGTATTAGCAATAACTATTCATTTGTGGATACATGAACGACTTGAAAAAGGCCCATCTTTCTCGTTAGTAGGTGAATTTCCCAAAAAAATTGCTTTTCATGTATAGAATCAAAATTTACATACTCATTTTGTATTAATTATATACATTGAATTATTGTAATTATAAGTAACTTAATCCAGAAGAGTATTTTCATATGCTTATGGTGATAAGAACTTTGTTAAAGGTGTCAATTTACATGTTTTGAGTGATCAATTGAAAGACTTCTAAGCCTAAAATTATTATTTGGGTAAAATTTGGGAATTAAGTTACAAATAAAAGTAAAACTCTAGAGAGAAAAGAGATTATTGTGAGATTCCGGCTGTTAAAAATAAAACTTGTTCATGTGTTTCTTAAGTCAATATTGGTAGGTATAAAATTACTATGGTATTTAGACTCCATTTAAAGAGATGTAATAGTTTTATTTTTAAATGTTAAGTACAATATGCCAGAAATTACATCTTTTGAAACTGTAAAACTTATAATGAAAAATTTTAGACATTGGCTTAAAGTGTGTGAAGAAGTAAAGAGTTGTTTGTTTTTTAAGTGTGGGTGGTGTGGGATCAAAAAGTTTGAGAATTACTGTGCAGCATTTCACAGTATTTCCAGACACTTCGAAGACTCAGCTTATCCATTCAGTATGTGCTCAGATGTCAGCTCTGCAGCACTGTACTTTCTTACTTTTTCTCAGTTTAAAAAATATATATTTACTGGAACAACCAGTGAAATACAAGTGGGCTTCAGTGAGGGCGCTGCAGCCCGGGCCCCAGATGACAGCCGCGAGCGCGGACTTTCTCTGCGGCTTCTCATTAACCACCTAGTCCTTTCTCCGCTTTTCTCAAAACATTCTCATTACTCTTTCTTTCCATCTGCCTTCTCTGTAGAAGAAAGCATAATTAAACCAATTGAAAAACTATCATGCAATGAAAGTTTTCCTGAAAAATTAGAGGACCCACCAGGTAATTTCTGGACGTTATAGACTAGTACAACTTGTCCTTTGAATCTCTGTTCAGTTTTCTTCTCAACATTTACCCCAAATCTTGTCATAAAAGGCCGTGCTGAAGGCCAAGGTCTCCTGCCTGCAGGAGCCCGGTCAGGTCGAGGAGAGGGAGACACATCCCACATCAGAACACCTCTCTTCGGCAGTTGGGACTCTTAAGACCAATGTGCTCTCAAAAAGCTCTTTGCTTGTCTCCTTATGTTAATTATGACAAATTATACAAATCAAGTAAGTCTGTTGAAAAGGATATTTTCTAATTTGGTAATATATATTCCTGGAATTTTCTAAAGTTCTGAAACTTATTTTTCATGCATTAACAATCATTGAAAAGAAAATGTTAATAGAGATGGTGCATTTCCTAGAGAGTCAGTGTTGCTGCTTTAAACAGTGCTGACTGTTGGCTCCAGCCTGAAAATTGGCAGGGCCCAAGCTGTTTCAAATGGCAAGCCAACATAATTTAAGAAGACTTCATTTTCTATGCACATGTCCTTCGTAACTTCTTCCTCCAGTAGGCAGAAGCCTCCTCGTATGTTCGGTGCGTGGCTTGAGAACCTGACGCGCATGGTGTTATTCGCCGGCCTTGCGGTGTTGGGCCAGTTTCCCATCAGTAAGATGGAGGGATACTTACCTAGACATTATTAATAACCATTCCTAGGCATTTTGTCAAACTAAGCCTTTACTAAGTGTTTGCTCCGATGGTTCTGAGGTTGCTACTGAATCACTGCCTTGAACTTCCTTTCAAAAGCCGTTTGAAGACTGACTCATGATTAAAAATGAGCCCTGGAGGGAGAAGTAAGGTCCAGTTAGTCGGCTATGCTATGCCAAATTCAGTGGTGTTAAAAATTGTATCAACTGATAACCTGTTTACTGGGTCAAATCCTTTGGGGTATGGTAAGTAACGTTGTTTGACATCTGTTGGTTCAAGAGCAAACATTTACAGTGTAGCACCAGACAGACATCAGGGACACCGAAGGTCAGAGTCGAGACTTGGGAACAAGTCGGACCATGTAAAAATGCTTCAGTGGTCGCTGCCAATGAACAGGTCTTTGAAGCCCCCAAAACTGTCAGCACTGTTTCACTTTTTCTCTGCCAGACTGGCTCCTCTCTGGCACTGCTGGGCTCCTTGAAAAAGCAGTTGTTTTCATTTTCCCTCATATTTCCAGGTTGCTCAGCTCCCTGTAGTTGATCCCCGGGCTATGGAACAGCTCCTGCTAGGTCCTGGCATCCAGTGGCCAGATGCACTGGGCAGTGCTAATCCCTCCAGACCTCTGCACCTCGTGTGTTACCCCTTCCGTCTCCACACACTGTATTCTCTTGAGTTTTCAGACCCTGCTGTTGCTACGATCTACCTTGCCATTCTCTCTCCTCCACTGGGTCCTCTCCTTCCTCTAATGCTGGTGTTCCCTGGGGTTCTGTCTGGGCTTGCTCACCTTGCAGCCCCTCTGAGATGACTCCTCCAAGCCCCCAGCTCCATAACGCCATACCTGATCACTCCAGTCTCCCAGCCTGCTCCACCTCTCAACTTGAATATCCCACAGGCACCATATCGTCTCCCACACCTGATTCTCATATTGTTTTCTTAGTCACCTTAATGTCAAACTTAGGGATTTCTATTTCTCTTTCCCTTCCCCTCCTACCCCGTATATCCCCTCAGTTCCCTTCTCTGTCCCCTCCGCCTGGTTAGCTCAGACCTGCATAACCTGTCGCTTCAGCTCTAGCTGGAACCTCCTGACTGGTCTCCTGCCTTAGTTTTTCCCTTTCAACCCGTCCCTATATTGTCCTCGATGGATCACTCGCTGATCGTGGTGAGGAGGAGGAGGAGCACAGACACTGCTGAACACACACTGTGCCCAGCGCTTTGCATACGCCTCATTCAGTCCCTACAACAACCCTGGGAGAAGAGGTACTTATCACAGTGATTTCACACAGTGAAGAGCACAGAGAGCACCGCAGGGTGCGGCTTCCTGCAGGAAGTACCTCCACGTTAACCACTGGAGTCATAAAAACCTGGTATGTGCAGGGAGAACTCGCCTTGCCTTCAGATTCTAGCTCGGTCTGATGAACTGTGAGAACGTCAGCAAGTTCTAAGAGCCACAGGTGTGGGTGACCATACGCACCTAAGGGTTGTCATATGGACTGAATAGCTGGTAAACCGTAGTGCCGCACCTGAGATACAGGTGCTCAGAAATAGAATTTAGAATGAGTAGGGGTATTATTCAAAGTTACTCTCCGGTGCTTTAAAATTTTCTCCTTCTGACAATGAAACTTTGTAATACGTCACCAGGAAATCCTGGAGGTTATGCTACTTACAAGTCAGGATATGTCCCTTCCTTTCTCAAAAAAGAAGTGGGGTCAGCTGGCCAGAGGATACATTTAGCACCTCTCAGCGCAACAGCTTCAGGTAAGGACTTTAGATGCCGTTTTTGAGAATTATGATCAGAAAGGAGCTTTCTAATGTTTCTGCAGTCACTCTTCCTGAGTGAAGACTTTTTATTTGGTTTACCCTTATTAACAACACTTCTGATTGTTTTTGGCAAAATGTCTTAGTTTTCTTCCAAAGCTGTGGTTTGAGAATCCAATAATTCTAAGAGCTCCTTCTAATTAAGTGGTTCTCTCTTGTGCCCTTGAATCCTCACAAGGACCTGGTGAAATAGAGCTCTTTTACAGACCAGGGAATTAACATTAAGTAGTTTATCTGAGGTCACAGCTAGTAACTGGTGGGGCTGGGATAGAAACTCAGTTAGTCTGATGCCACAGGGGGCTGCATCATGGGAGGTGAGAAGGTGCATTTTTCAGAGCTGCCTGCTGGGAGCTGGCGCAGAGTGAAAATGAATGTTGAACCTCTGTTACGCATCATTTAACGGCACCCTCTCCGTTCCATGTGGGAGAACAGAACTAAACTGCGCCCAGCTTCCACTGGCTTGTGCTTCGCCAGTGATGAGAGGGTTTGTCCTCCAACCTCAGTGTATGACTGACTGCCCAGGTGGCCTGTTCTGTGTGGTGTGGTGTAAGACAGCCACACTCCAGGGGGCGCTCTTGAAATTGAGGTGATGCTTTTGTACTTGAGCTGATCAGATTTGACTAGCAAATATTCTCTGAATTATTGTAATCTAAAATAGATATCCGAATCAAAGCACCTAAAACAGACACTAAGGCAGATAATCAGAAGTTTAGTAAGATACTAGTTGTATCTTGTTTAAAAGTTGACTCCAAAAGTCTTCTTACAGCCTATCCTATGCAGGAGCTTATGTGAAAACTCCCATAGGAGTTGCTGATCTTTCAAGTTCACGCTGTTGGAGCTAAAATTGTAAAATGTTTTGTAATTTTTGAACTTTTGTAATTTTCTTACTACAGAACTACTTAAACAGTACTTACTCAGTTACCTTATCTGTGAAAAGAATTACTTCATTATCTCTCTGCTGAAACAAAAATATATGAACATCATATATACAGCAATAATTTGTATGAAGCCTCAGATATTTTAAGCCAGCCTTATAACAAATTAGTTATTAGCCATGGCTTAGTAGCAGAGGAGGATTTTCTCCTCCTTAGTAGGAGAAAATCAAAATGTTTCAAATTATTTTGTTACCTAATACCTGCTCTCTGAAGGTGAAAGTGGGTAGTTTTAAACATGTGTTTATAAGATATTGAAGACCTTTTTATATTAATTATTCTGTCAGATTAGCATGTATGTTCCTGTTTTCATTTTTAGTGAATGCTTTCTCATAACTTTTCATCTCTTCATTTGCTGTGCTCATCAGATTCCCCTACAGATGGTGATAGGAGGAAAGGGAAACAAAGAAGTAAATACTGACCATTCTCAAGTGGTCAGTGCAGACCCTTAGGAGACTGTTCTGTGAGAGATGTGCCCTGCGGTCCTCCCACCTGTGTGACAGTTGTCCACAGGAGAATAAAGCCAGGTCATTACCACATTTATTCCACTTTCCCCTCATTTTCTCCTTTTCAGCTGTTTTTCTTCCTCACTCTCACATTTTGAGGAAAGTTTCTTTCTCCCTCCTTATGTGATCTCTCATCCCAAACTCCCTAGTCCTTCCTCCTCCCCTGCTTTGACAGTAACAGGGACTTGAGGGGTGACTTCTTTCACGTGCTCTATATATTGCAGCCCATTTAATCCTCCCCCGACTCTATTACAGAAGTTACTACAGGGCAGGGCAAAAGTATGCAAAACAGAGTTTATCCTTGTATTGTTTATTAATTGTATTATTTTCCACACGAACAACTGTAAACCTACTTTTGCTGCCCCACCCTGTATTATGATCTCCATTTTCCAGAATTTTTTTTTAATCTTGCTGAAAGTTATATAGTAATGGCACTGATTAAATTCTTAACTAGAGGCAGACACCTTTTCCTTTAGCAAACATATTGTACAAGAAGTGAAATGCCCTCAACTGGACACATGCAGTTTTAAAAGTAAACGCACAGCAAGGGTTCGAGGCTGGCTGCCCGCTGGCCCGCCCGAGTGGTGAGGCGCAGGGCACGGCGCTGTGCGCGGAAAGCACTTCTCGCCCTGCCTGCCATCTGGGCTCCTTCGTCAGCGACTGCTTCTTCACCAAGGGTGCCTGAGTCCTAAAGCTGTTGTTTCTCAGGGAGGAATCCTAAATGTCAACATTTGCCTTCTTGACAAAGTGATTCCTTCTTTGAAGGTTTTACAAATTTTGACCTGAACAGTTTCCTTCAAATGCATTGAGGACCCAACTTTGGTTGCCACGACCGGGACAAAGGCTTATCTGTTTTTCGCTTCCCAAGCCCCTCTCTGCCCAGCAGTGTTAAGAATGGATCCCTTTCCCCTTCTCTGAATCACCTGGGCTCCTGGCCTCCTTTCCCCTCCTCCCTCCATGCCCTCCCCCTTACATGCTCTCTCCTCTGCCTGTGGTTGCACCTGACCTGTGAACCGCGGCTGAGCTCGCTGACGGAGCAGACTGATGCTCATCTGTGTTCCAGGGGCAGGAGCCAAAGGGTTGTGCCTGGACAGCAGGGTGCACCCAACTGCCTTCCAGATGCCTTGTCCCTGCCCTTGTTAGGTAACTTTCATTGGCTTCACCTTTGAGAACTTTAAAGAGTAGAGGATGAAATGACCTGTCAAACCACCAAAGGGAGGGCTCTTGGACTCTGTCCCAACAGACAGCACAGCAGACAGTGACTGTCACTGGGGTGGTTCCTCCTTCAATGCTCTGTTCCCTTTAAGCCGAGGTTAGCAGCACATCAGGAGTCCCGTGCTCCTGTTGTTCCTCCTGCGCTCCCGTCCTGCACTCCCATAGTCCCTCCTGTGCTCCCATCCTGCACTCCCATAGTCCCTCCTGCATTCCCATAGTCCCTCCTGTGCTCCTATCCTGCATTCCCATAGTCCCTCCTGCATTCCCATAGTCCCTCCTGCATTCCCATAGTCCCTCCTGTGCTCCCGTCCTGCACTCCCATAGTACTTCCTGTGCTCCCGTCCTGCACTCCCATAGTCCCTCCTGTGCTCCTATCCTGCATTCCCATAGTCCCTCCTGCATTCCCATAGTCCCTCCTGCATTCCCATAGTCCCTCCTGCGCTCCCGTTGTCCCTCCTGCATTCCCATTTTTACAGCGAAAGTGTAAAGGAGAAACAGACACCACACAGGTAGAGCATCTCTATTTATGTTAAGTATACAGGATGTTCAGACTCACTTCAAAACTGACTCGGAGTTTAATCCAAGAAGGACATAGCCACCCAGTGTGAAGAGATACTTGAATCCCAAATGGGAAGATCAAATGACCCTCCTTAGGTAGAACACGTGGTGTGGCTCAGAGTGAAGTGAGGCAGGGGTGAAGGAGGGACTGAAGACATTCAATTTCTCTGTAAAGTGCTTTACTGCTTTGTCATTTAAGATGTTCAAGCAACTTGAACATAAACTGTTCAGATAATAAATGTGTTACTTCACACAATTTTCTTCAGCCAAATGTATGAAACAAACCTTGTGATGAAAGGTTTGGGATCCTTTTTTTTTTTCTTTATTGATTTTTAGAGAGAGAGGAAGTGAGAGGGAGAGAGAGATAGAAACATGTATGAGAGAGAACATTGACTGGCCACCTCGTGCATGCTCCGCACTGGGGATCAGACCCACCACCTGGGCGTGTATCCTGACCGGGAATTGAACTGGCGACCTCTTGGTGCATGGGTCGATGCTCAACCACTGAGCCACACCAGCGGACTGGGATCCTTTTAGAAGAATTCTGTCATCCATCCTTTTCCCAATAAAAAAAATTACTTCTTGACTCGAGAAACCACATTTTAATGTTTAAAAAGAAATCTAATACATAGCTGCATGAACCCAGAGCTTTACAGGATTCACAATTCTGTATACATTTTCTGCAGTCATACCGTGTGTGAAGATCATTTAGATGTTGCCACAGTATAGTTTAACTGTACAAAGTCGCTAACACTGGTATTGCTCGTTGAACGGGGTCTCCTCGGGTGGCGTTAGTGTCTGAGCCTGATGGGCAGCTCAGCCCACGTGAGAGCAGTGCCAGGGCTGTGAGCCAGCACCAGCTTCCGGAGCCTGGAAACTAACTGGCGCCAAAGTTCCACACTAGAAGTTTCAGTGTTAATATTCTACAAACTTTTAGAGACCATTGAACTAATCTTTCGAAGATAAACATTTCTCCTACAAAATGAAAGGATGAATCACTTTTTAAATTTAATTATCAAGTAACAATTCTAATTTCTGATTCTGGTTTCTTTCAGAATATACCTGGAACACAAAAAGTGGTCGGGGGCAATTTTCAGGACCTACTTACAATCCTACAGCCAAGAACCTAAATACCATGCACCGTGCACAGCCAGTTCCCTCAGTGCATGGAAGGACAGACTGGGTGGCCAAGTATGGAGGCCACCAGTAGGAATCTGGTGCGAAGCCCCGTAGCATTGCCCCGGAGAGTCCTCTGCCCTGGGGACGACCTGCAGATGTCTACTTCTCCTGAGTTCTGGAAGGACTATATAATAGTGGGTACTTGGAAGAGCAAAAACCAACTCCTGTTTTCTTTCCTAGAAATGAAATGCATTTTCTTGGCTTCATTTCCCATATTTGGGTAGGGCTGATATATGGGTAGGACTTTACAAAGTATTGAATAAAAAAACTATTTGCCAAAGCATGAAGTTACTTGATACACAAATTAATAGATACTAAGTACAAGAAGCTTTTTTAAAAAAATGCCTCCAGAAGTGTTTAGTGTTTTCGTTTTCATGTGTTACATATTTGCCCAAATGACTTAATATTTCATCACTTGGCCTCAGAGGTTTATTGTGTTCTCGTTTTCTGTGGCAATTAGGAAGACCACAGATGTTGTGGGCTGTCAGTGATAGTGATGTGGCCAAGGCTCTACTCTACCACTTTGACGATGGCAGAAAAATGGTCATTTATCATTTGTTTTTCTACTTTGAAATTATGGAAGCAATGATAATGCCGATCTTGAGCAGGATGTCTTTCTTAGATATAAATTTATCGTTAACATAGAGATTTCATAATTATGTCATCTGATTTTAGTGGGAAAAGAGCCTGTTACTTCATTTTCACCAATACAACTGCTATGGATTCATGGTAACTGTCAAACCCAATGGCTTGATGACTCCCAAATGAACCAAGTCAAGGTTCTCCCATGTTCACATCAAGAAAGTTCTTAAAACTATGATGTGTGTTCATCAGACTTTCAAAATATACGTTTCCATGTTCCTACCAGACATGAGGAGGGATGTCAGCTGGTTCCCCAAACTCTTGCTGCTGATCACTGACTCAGCTCTGACCTTCCCAGTTGCTCGGGAGAGCAAATGCATTTAGCTGCTACAGCAATGATTTCACTTACTACATTTTTGTCTTAGTTGTATTTCTAAATTGGTATTTGAAATAGACATTTTGAACTTATGACAATTCTATTTAAACCTGCCATTTTTTGGATTGGACATTAGTACTGTATATTCTTTTTAAAGAATAATGTTATCTACTGCTGATAATTTTATGTACTTTATGACTTTGTAATAAATGGTAATGTAATTAGTATCATCTTGTGAACATTATCCAAAGGCACATTATAGTCATGATATGGTATTTTTATACAGAAAACTCAGCTCCCCTTGTTGAAAAATGTTAAAATCTAAAGAATAATTTATGTTGGGGTAATGGTTATATATATTTGTATATTTTTAACTACTGTCTCAAAGCTAAAAAATTATTTTATGTTGCTGGGACTGGTTAAACTCTGAATAGATATTAAAATTTACATGGTTAACTAGTGTCTTTTCTTTACATTTTTTACTTTATTCTTATACTCTAAGGCCTATGTGTTTAGTTAGCTTTGGGTTTTGTTTTGTTGTTTTTTTTAATCCTCACCAGAGGACATTTTTTGATATTTTGTTCAGATAGAGTGGGAGGGGGGAGAGAGAGAGAGAGAAAGAGAAACATCAACGTGAAAGGGACACATCGAGTAGTTGCCACCCGCACAACCCAACCAGGGCCGGGGACAAACTGCAACCGAGGTACATGCCCCCAGCAGGAACCGAACCCAGGTCTCTCGGGACCGCAGGCCGACACTCTAACCGCTGAGCCAAACCGGCCAGGGCAGCTTTGGATTTTTTTTTAAGCAGTTGTACGTTCATGGAAAAATTGATCAGAAAGTAGAGTTTCCATATATACTTCCTCATCACCCCCTCCTCAGATTTCCCCTTATTATTAGCATCTTGCATTAGTGTGTGGCATTTGTTATGACTGATGAACCAATACTGATACATTATTAACTAAAGCCCATAGTTTACTGAGGGTTCACGCTTTGTGTTGTACATTTATGGGTTTCAATGCCAGTGCTTCTATCAGTTCACTGATGCATATTACCTGCCATTAGCTTTTGTCAGTTACCCTTTATCTAGTCCTGTGGCTTTATGGTAAAGTTAGAAATAATAAGCTACTGCTATCACTGATTCATCATTGTTCTAGACAAAGCAATACAACAAGAGAAATAAAGTATAAATTAATGGTGGCAAGGGACAACTGCACCTAGGTTCTGGGTTCAATTCTCGGTCGGGGTTTGTATGGGAGGCAACCAATTTATGTTTCTCTCGCACATTGAAGTTTCTCTCCCTCTCTAAAATTAATAAGGACATACCCTTGGGTGATGGGGGGGTGGGAGGTCAAAAGGAAAAAACTTAAAATGACAGACATCCTTTACAAATGAACAATGATAGACCTGTAAATTTTAGCCAAAATAGATGTGAGAAAAAAATTAAAAACTTACAAGGAACACTGGAAATATGCTGAATTTGAGCATACTTAACCATTAAAAAAGAATTAAGGATAAAAATATAAAATAATAAAAGATTTCACCCCAGCAGCAACCAACATTGTCTAGCACCCAGATCTTGGTTTCTAGGATCCTTGGAGAAATGGCTGATTCCAGTACCAGGGCATGAAGTATACAAGATGAGCTTGGAGCATCTGTAGTGCCAGAAAGGGAGGAAGTTCTGAAGAAACAAAAAGCAAGCAAAAACAGCTTACATCGATGGACTATGTCAAAGGAACACAGGAGCGAAACTGAAAGAGCTCCGTCTCCAAAAACCAACATTTGAGTAAGAAAATTAAGAAGTATTAGATTATAACCAAAAGTAGAAAATACACATGAACCCATACTGATAAAAAAATTTAATAAAGCCCTGGCCGGTTTGGCTCAACGGAGCGTTGGCCTGTGGACCAGAGAGTCCTGGGTTCGGTTCCCGCTAGGGGCACGTACCAAAAAATTTAAAAAAATAATAAAGGAAGAGGAGACAAATTTCTATGCAGCAGGATTCCAAACAATTTATGTAGCTGCTCTGACCTCCAGGAGGTGGGACATAACTCCACATTCCAAGTGTGGAATGTGCACAGTGACTTCCTCTCACAGCATACAGTATGGGAAGGGGGAATAAAGGAATAACTTCCCAGCGGAGAAGCCTGATGAACACTACCTCGTCCAGATGAGCAAGGTCAACATCAACAGTAATTGGTTGTTATGAGATGAAAATGGCATTTACCTTTATGGTCTTCCTCCTAAAAACCTGTAACCCTAAGCCTACCATGAGAAAAACAGTAGACAAATTCCAATATAAGTACATTCTACAAGATACCGGATCAGTGCTCCTCAAAACTCTCAAAGTCATCAAGAACAAGGAAAGTGTAAAATAGTCACAGCCAAGAAGAGCTTAAGAAGATATGGCTACTAAACATAAGGTGGTATCCTAGATGAGATCCTGGAATAGAATATTAGTTCAAAAGTAAGGAAATCTGAATAAATTATGGACTTTATAATGCATCAGTATTGGTTCATTAGTTGGAACAAGGTATCATACTAATGTAAGATGTTAGAAATAGGGGAAACTGGGTATAGGGTGTGTGGGACCTCTGTATTGTCTTCTCAAAACTGTTCTAAAAAAATAAAGATTATTTTTAAAAAGTAGATTTGGCCCGGCCAGTGTGGCTCAGTGCATTGAGTGTCGTCCCATGGACAGAGAGGTCCCAGTTTGATTCCCCGTCAGGGCACATGCCCCAGTTGTGGGCTCGATCCCCAGTAGGGGGCGTGCAGGAGGCAGCCAATCATTGTTTCTCTCTCACTTTGATGTTTCTCTCTCTCCCTTCCTCTCTAAAAAAATCAATAAAAACATTTTTTAAAAAATAGATTTGATCAATTTCTCTATTCAGCAAATATTTACTATCTATTATGTACTAAATGTGGTATATATGGCAGTAACAAAATGGTCATTTTCCCTGACCTCACAGAACATACATGCTGGAGGTAGACATTAAGTAAACACAAATATAATCGTCCCTCGGTATCTGTGGGGCACTGGTTCCAGGACCCTCCACTGATACCAAAATCCACAGATGCACAAGTCCCTTATATAAAATAGCATACAGCCTGGCTGGTGTGGCTCAGTGGTTCAGCGTTGACCCATGCACCACCAAGAGGTCGCCAGTTTGATTCCCAGTCAGGGCACATGCCCAGGTTGTGGGCCAAATCCCAGTGAGGAGCATGTAGGAGATGGCCAATCGATGTTTCTCTCTCTCTAAAATCAATAAAGAAAAAAATTTAAATGGCATACAATAATGCATACAGTTGGCCCTCTGCATCTGCGAACTCCCAAACCACAGATTGAAAATACTGTTTCAATTGTGGATGGATGAATTCATAAGCAAAACCTGGATACAGAGTTGACTGTGTAATTACTGAAAAAAATCCATGTAACAAGTGGACCTGTGCAGTTCAAATCTGTGTTCAAGTGTCAACTATATTTGCAAATTATGATGAGTGCTGCTGAAAAAACAACAAAAAAAAAAACAGGGTGTTAGAGACTAAAGGAGGGATCTAAACGTAATGAGAAATGAATGATTTTAAGTCTAAGAGTCTAATTATACTTGAAATATGCCTGTGCCTGCTGGGTAGAGAATGACTTACTGGGTCAAAGCAGAAAACAAGGAGTGCAAATAGAAGATTAAAAGATGGTGACACTTGGCCCTGGCCGGTTTGAGCATTGGCCCACAGACCAATGATGCGCAGGTTCGATTCCAGTTAAGAGCACGTACCTCGTACCTCGGTTGCAGTTTGTCCCTGGCCCTGGTCAGGGTCGTGTGGGAGGCAACCAGTTGATGTGTCCCTCTCACATCAATGTTTCTCTCTCTCTCCTACTCTATCTGAAGATAAATAGAAAAATATCCTTGGGTGAGGATTAAAAAAAAAAAAATTAAACAAAAAAGCCCAGCTGGTGTGGCTCAGTGGTTGAGCATCGACCCATGCACCAAGAAGTTGCCAGTTTGATTCCTAGTCAGGGCACATGCCCAGGTTATGGGCCAGATCCCCAGGGGGGCCATGCAGGAGGCGGCCAATCGATGTTCTCTCTCATCAATGTTTCTATCTCTCTCCCCCTCTCCCTTCCTCTCTCTCTAAAATCAATAAAGAAAAAAGTTTTTAAAAAATAAATAAATAAAAGATGGTGATACTTGGACTTAGGTATTAGGAATGGTATGGAAGAGAAATGATTATGGCTGTTGACGGAAGGCTATTAGTTTCTGGTGTTGATCTTTCTTGTTGCTTTATAGAACTTTGACATTAGTTCTAATAGGTTTTTAGTTGCCTTTCTTGGGTTTTGTAGATAGCCAATTATATTAGCTATTTTAAATGTTTAATTTCTTTCCACCATTAATTTATACTTCATTTATTTCTCTTGTTTTATTGCTTTGTCTAGAACAATGTTGAATCTTGTCAGTGATAGCAGTAGCTTATTATTTCTAACTTTACCATAAAGCCATAGGACTAGATAAAGGGTAACTGACAAAAACTAATGGCAGGTAATATGCATGAGTGAACTGATAGAAGCACTGGCATTAATGACAGAAATTCATTTTGTTTATGAAAAAGTTCCCACTCATAATAAAAAAATATAAAATATCCTAAAATAATCTTAATAGAAATGCAAAGAACTAAATGAATAGAGCTCTAAAATATTGATTTAAGTTCCCTGCATTGAAGAGTAAATATTTGAGCCCTGGCTGGTTTGGCTCAGCGGTTAGAGCGTTGGCCTGCGGTCCCGAGAGACCCGGGTTCAGTTCCCTCTAAGGGCACGTACCTCAGTTGCAGTTTGTCCCCGGCCCTGTTGGGTCATGCGGGTGGCAGCCACTCGATGTGTCCCTTTCCTGTCGATGTTTCTCTCTCTCTCCTTCCCACTCTATCTGAACAAAATATCAAAAAAGTGTCCTCGGGTGAGGATTAAAAAAAAAAATCTAAAGGCTCATCTGCTTTGACTCAGCTTTCTATTTTTTTATTTTTTTTTCTTTATTGATTTTAGAGAAAGAGGAAGGGAGAGGGAGACAGAGATAGAAACATCGATGAGAGAGAACATCGACTGGCCGCCTCCTGCATGCCTCACAAGAGGGATCTGGCCCACAACCTGGGCATGTGCCCTGACTGGGAATCAAACCCACGACCTCTTGGTGTATGGGTGGATGCTCAACCACTGAGCCACACCGGCCAGGCTGTTTTGACTCAGCTTTTAGTAATATAACCCAAGAGTTCATTTGCACATGTGCACCAGGATTTACATAGCAATGTTCCTTGGTAAAGCATTCTTTGTAATAGTAAAAGGCTTCGAACAGGTACTTTTCTATCAAATGGTGAATTATACAGTAACATCATACAATTAAAAAGCCATTAAAAAATGAGGTAGGACCTGGCCAGTGTGGCTCAGTGGTTGAGCGTCGACCCATGTACCAAGAGGTCGCCGGTTCAATTCCCGGTCAGGGCACATGCCCAGGTTGTGGGCCAGATCCCCAGTGGGGGACATGCAGGAGGCGGCCAATTGATGTTCTCTCTCATCGATGTTTCCATTTCTCTCTCCCTCTCTCTCTAAAAATCAATAAAGATAAAAAAAAAAATGAGGCCGTTGGCCAGGGCCTGTGGTGCGCCGCTTCAGCGAGGGGCTCGACAGTGGCCACTTGGCCTGTTGCTTTTCTGGGCACCACTCTTCCGGCCCCCTCCCCCGCAACGCGACACGCCAGTAGCGCAGCACCGATTCCTCTCGTGCTCTTGGGCGCTGCTCTGAGCAGCGTCACCCTTTATACCAGAAAGCTGGCGGGCACTATGGGGAAAAAACAAAACAAGAAGAAAGTGGAGGAGGTGCTAGAAGAAGAGGAAGAGGAATATGTGGTGGAAAAGGTTCTAGACCGTCGAGTGGTAAAGGGCAAAGTGGAGTACCTCCTCAAGTGGAAGGGGTTCTCAGATGAGGACAACACATGGGAGCCAGAAGAGAACCTGGATTGTCCTGACCTCATTGCTGAGTTTCTACAGTCACAGAAAACAGCACATGAGACAGATAAATCAGAAGGAGGCAAGCACAAAGCTGACTCTGATTCTGAAGATAAGGGAGAGGAGAGCAAACCAAAGAAGAAGAAAGAAGAGTCAGAAAAGTCACGAGGTTTTGCCCGGGGTTTGGAGCCAGAGCGGATTATTGGCGCTACAGACTCCAGTGGAGAACTCATGTTCCTGATGAAATGGAAAAACTCTGATGAGGCTGACCTGGTCCCAGCCAAGGAAGCCAATGTCAAGTGCCCCCAGGTTGTTATATCCTTCTATGAGGAAAGGCTGATGTGGCATTCCTACCCCTCAGAGGATGATGACAAAAAAGATGACAAGAATTAGCTCTCCTGAGTACCAGCCCCTGTCACATCTGACTGTGGCTTTCAAGTGGGGAGGGGAAGGAGTTCTACTTGTCTTGATACCATAGAGGTGGCTTGAGAAGATGTCCTTTGAAGAGCCAGTATAGTTTCTGTGCCCTATAGCAGCCCAAGTGCTTTAAAGCTGTTCCATACTGTATAGTTTGCACACCCATCCAAGTGGAGGGGAAGGAGGATAAGTGTTTCAAGGCAACTCATTCTGCACTTTGCTGAGAAAAACAAAGGGCCTTCTATGAAGGACAAAATTTGCAGAATGGGTGTGTGGGAGAGCAAAAAGATACTGTAGATCTTCAAAGAGCATCTCCACAACCCACAGCCTTCTTCCCAATAGTGTTAACTGCATTTTTACAGCGTAGCATGTGTGTAGTTTTGGTTATTACTGGTGTATTATTTGGGGGTGGGAGGGGTGGGGTGGGAAGGGAGATGGGTAGGATTGTTTGGTTAAATTTGGGGCCTGGTTGGGGAAATGGTGAAACAGTGGAAAGAACAAAGAACGAATGATTTGGTTATGTGTCCAGAACATATTATTTTATCCAAAAATGTCATTGGCAATCTAATTGAGGACTGTGAGAGACTGTTTAAAAGCTGTGAATGCCTGAAATTTACAAGCCAAGGTATTCCCTGCCTGAGCTTAATGCTATTCCCAACAAAGGACTAAGCCAGTTGAATGTTACCAAAGCTGCCGTTTTGGGGGTGGAAACTGGTTGAGAAGGGAAAGTCTTTTATTGGAGCATATATATATGCAGATCATTCTGTCTTAGAGGTGCTAATTCTTGAAACTGACAAGAAGACCCTTTTCTAATTATGAAGCTATAAATATTAGCTAGTCCATCCAACCTACTGGCTGAGGTATTTGGGGAGGGGAAGAAGGTGGCATAGGAGTGAGAGTAAAGAGAAGGGCCCATGCTCTTAGGGTGGAAAACTCTTGGAGCCTCTGTTTTTTGAACTTTGAACTCTGAAACCATTGGTAGCAGGGTTCGTCACTGACAGCACAAGTTCATCAAATCACTTCAAGAGTTGGATTATTTCAAAAGCCCTGGTCTCAGGAGAAGATTAAACTTTCACTTTCATACTAGGGCAGTGGTTCACTTTAAAACACACACACAAAAAATCTTTTTTAATCCTAAGAAATAACTAATACCTAAAATGCTGTCTCGACTCATGAGATCCATCAATTCTTGACATCATTCAGACCTGCATCTAGAACTTCATTGTAAAATCTTTTTAGGCATGTGTTAGATTTCTGTGAAAACTTTGTTTAAATGTAAACTTCATACCACACTGTCAGTTTTTGTCTTAATAAAACTATATAGATTTATAATCCTTAAAAAAAAAAATGAGGCTGGTCTCTACATCCAGATAAGGAAAAGGTTTAAGTGTAGCACATTTATATGCTATATATGCTCAGAAAACTTCTGGGCCTATAAATAAGCTACATAATGTTACCTATTAAGTTGAGAGACAAAGGGTATGGGATGGAAAGGAGACTTAATTTTACTCTACACTCTCTGTCTTGTGTGCCTTCTTTATCAAAAACATATTTTGTCTCCATTTTAAACATCCTTGTTAACCTTGTAACTTTGGAGTGAGAAAAGACTGTAAAGCAGCGGTTCGCAACCTTCCTGATGCCGAGACCCTGTAATGCAGGTCCTCATGCTGTGTGTGGGCAGACCTGCCTGAGACGGATAGAGGAGCCGTGTCTGGGTTCCTAAGACCATCCGAAATATGTTTTCCGATGGTCTTAGGCGACCCCTGTGAAAGGGTCGTTCAATCCCCAAAGGGGTCACGACCCACAGGTTGAGAACCACTACTATAAAGCAAGGTAATAGATCTGACAATGCAAAAATGTAGATACTATGAACAAAATTAAAAGATATGTGATATAGACTGGGAGAAAATAAAATATGTAACAAAATATTTGTACCCATCATACACAGAGAGCTTCTACACATCAATAAACAAAAAGCAGCCCTGGCCAGTTTGGCTCAGCGGTTAGAGCGTTGGCCCACGAACCAGAGTCCCGGGTTTGGTTCCTGCTAAGAGCACGTACCTCGGTTGCAGTTTGTCCCCGGCCCTGGTTGGGGTTGTGTGGGTGGCAACCAGTTGATGGGTCTCTCTCACATCCATGTTTTTCTCTCTCTCTTCCCCCCTCTCTCCCTCCCACTCTATCTGAAGATAAATGCAAAAAATGTCCTTGGGTGAGAATAATAAAAAAAAAAAAAAAGGCAACAAAAATGAGGGGAGCCCTGGCTGGTTTGGCTCAGCGGTTAGAGAGTCAGCCTGCGGTCCTGAGAGACCCGGGTTCAGTTCCCGCTAAGGGCGCATACCTCGGTTGCAGTTTGTCCCCAGCCCTGGTCGGTCGTGCGGGTGGCAGCAACTCGATGTATCCCTTCACGTCGATGTTTCTCTCTCTCTCTCTGTTCCTCTCTCTCCCTCCACTCTATCTGAACAAAAAATGGGAAAATGTCCTCGGGTGAGGATAAAAAAAAAAAGAAAAGAAAAGAAAAAATGAGGGGAAAATGGATTCAGTTCAAACTCTTTAGCTTGGGATACCCAAACTACCTAGATTTGACCTTGCCTGTCAGTCTCCTCTCCTGCTGCAGCCAACCTCATATCCAGTTACACCCAACAACTTGTAGTTCCGGACTGTGCCAGGTGCCATGCCTCTGAGGCACTGCACATACTGCTCCTTCTCCCCCTGCAACATTGGTCTGCCCTTGTCTATAAATTCCTCATTTCTCAACGTTTGTCTTAATCATCATCTCTTCTGTGAAGCCCTTCAAGGCTCCCTAAACCAGCGATTTTCAACTGGTGCATCGCAAGAATTTTTAAAACATGCAATACCTATTTAGTCAGGGGCACTGACCTCTTTTCTCTTAGAATGTCAAATAAAGTGACAACAGCCAACACAATAGCTGTCCAGTATGAATGAATCAAAATGATTACCTATTGTCTTTTGTCAGATTGGCAAAAAAAAGTATTTTTTCAGTGCGCTACAGAATTTTAGTAATTAGTTTATAAGTGTGCCATGAAATGAAAGAAGTTGAAAACCACTGCTCTAAATGGAATTGACCACCCCTTGTGTGTCCCCATGGTAATGTATAGATATCTGTTATGCATTTATTTCTATATTGCCTTTGTTTAGATGCCAGTCTTCTCCACTAGACTCCATGACTGCAAGCTATGGTTTGTTCTTCTTTCCCTTCTAGGACCCAGCACAACTTTAAAACAGCAAGTACTCAGGAACTTTGAGGAAGAGGAGGGACTTGGCGAGGGCACTGGCAGTGAAGATCCCTCCCAGCCGCTCGCCCCCCTGCCCCAGTCTGTGGGTGGCCTTAGAACTGTCAGAGCTGACCACCGGTGATCTACTTTAGATCTAAACTAATTCCCACCTTCAGGAAACCTTGTCAGTCTAATGTTAGAGCCCCTCACCTAGAACTGAAGGCCAAAATTAATGCCCTCTGGAAACACCTCAGACAGATGAAAAACCAGGGCCAACATCGTGATTCAAAATGGTATCTATGGAAGCCTGGTAGGATGGTAGCTTTAGATGGTCTAGGGCCTTCTGATGGAAAGCAGACTTAATTTTACTCTGTACCTTTCTGTCTTGCGTGCATTCTTTATCACAAACATATTTTGTCTCAATTTTAAACAACCTTGTTAACCTTGTAACTTTGGAATGAGAAAAGACTGTAAGTCCCCCTAATAGTCAACAGCCAAGTATTAGTGTGTGTGTGTGTATACACACATGCATACACACATCACATGTACACATGTATGTGTGGCTGGGTTTGCAGGATATAAAATATTGACAAAAATTATTAAATACATTTAACTATATTTTAAGTAGCTACCATGACAACCACCCAAGAGCCCTTAGAACCCAAAGTAAGTCTTTCTGATGAATTAATATAGAACGAGTATTGCATTTTTATTTAGAACAATCTTTTGCTGTGCCTTGGCCCTTATAACTCATTTGATTCAAACATCTGAGTAGTAACAAGTCACTGTGTTCACTTCTACCTCGCCCTCGAACAACAGGGTTTTGTGAAACAAGCCTAACAGTGAAAGTTAGCTCTATAAACACACACCGTACACAGCTCTCCACTGCTCATGAGGACACCCAGGCCACCCGTGGGTGTTCCAATCTTTGTAACACTAACTACATCAGTTATTTTTCTCCCAAACACACTTTCCGAAAAATTTTAAAATATCAGAAAGATAATGAAATGTTCTGTTTACTGGATTTTCTTTGTCCACCTTCCCTTAGACTATATAGGACTAATGTTTAGAAAATCATGATAATGCAACTCACCAGGGCATGAAATCATAACATGCATCAATGAACTGTTTGTAAGTGTTTGTCTTTATTATTTAAACAATGAATTTGGTATAATTATATGATAAATGTAATAACTGACTATACCAGGAACTATGGGAAAATTTTTTAAGTATTCGCAAGTATGTGACATCAGGCGCTAACCCTTTCACTATCTTTGAGTAACAACTAACAGCATATGTGAGAAAAAGACCTTGGGGTCTCAGTAGACCAAAAGCTTAATGAGTCACTGCTCTGATGGGGCTTTCCAAAAATCTTATTTTGATCCTGGTTGCATGAACAGAAATGCAGTCTCCAGAATACAGTGCTTTTGTCACACCCCCTTGTGTAGAGCCCCGGGCATTATACTTTTGAGAATGTGCCCTGGCTGACATATCACATAAAACGAGGACGAGAAAACTAGGACTCTTTTCAAGGACCTTAAGCAAATACATAAAATTAACAGGTGACTAATTTATAGTCTAAATCCAACCAATACCAGTTAGGTTGGAGGTAAGTAGCAAATACCCATTCCTTTATATTCATTTTTATTTTGTGTTAATCCTCACCTGAGGATATTTTTTCCATTGATTTTTAGAGAGGGTGGAAGGGAGGGAGGGAAGTGAAGGGCAGGGAGGGAGAGACATGGACAGGGAGGGAGGGAGAGAAATATCAATGTGAGAGAGACAATTGTCACCAGCACATGTCCCAACCAGGGCTGGAGATCCAACCTGCAACCTAGGTACGTGCCCTTGACTGGGAATCAAACCTGTGACCCTTGTCTGAGGGCCAACTCTCTAACCACTAAACCACACCAGCCAGGGCATTCGTTCTTTTTTATTTATTTATTTTAATCCTCACCCAAAGACATATTTAGATATTTTGTTCAGATAGAGTGGAAGGGAGAGAGAGAGAAACATCGACCTGAAAGGGACACATCAAATGGTTACCACCCACACGACCCAACCAGGGCCGGGGACAAACTGCAACTGAGGTACGTGCCCTTAGTGGGAACCAAACCCGGGTCTCTCCAGACCGCAGGCCAACGCTCTAACTGCTGAGCCAAACTGGTCAGGGCTTCCTTTTTTAAATAGAGGGAAACTAAAGTAAGGAGTCCAGAATGAGTTAATTCTCAAAGCTGAACAATACACAGTAAAGTGACAATGTATCAGTATACAGTTAGAGTGTCCAAAGCAGAGACTCACCTAGGTAAGGTAATTCAAGTTCCACATAGGTCTTCTAGTTTCCCAATTACAGTTTAACTAGTTATCCCAAATTTCATTTTTCCTTTTGATTACAGTCCTAATTTTTTTTTTTTAATCTTTATTGTTGGATGTAAAATGTATTACAGATGTTTCACATTTTTCCCCCATTGACCCCCTCCTCCCCACTCCCGCCCCCCTCCCACCTTTTCCCACACTATTGTCTGTGTCCATTGATTATGCATATAAGTTCCTTGGTTCATTTCTTCCCACCCCCCCAACCCCTTTCCCTTTGAGGTTTGTCAGTCTAGCAATGAATTTGTGCTTCTTAATCCCTTCACCTTTTTCACCCATTCCCCCAACTCCCTTCCCAATTGGCAACCAACAAAATGTTCTTTGTATCTATGAGAATGTTTCTGTTCTACCTGTTCATTTTGTTTATAGATTCCATTATTGATAGATATATATTCATTGCCATTTTGTTTGTTCATATATTTTATCTATTTCTTCAAAAAGACCCTTCATCATTTCATATAATAACGGTTTGGCAGTGATGAACTCCTTTAACTTTTTCTCGTCTGGGAAAGTTTTTATATGTCCATCGATTCTAAATGACAGCTTTGAAGGATAGAGTAATTCTGGTTGTAGGTTCTTGCTTTTCATCACTCTGAATATTTCTTGCCACTCCCTTCTGGCCTGAAAAGTTTCTTTTGAGAAATCAGCAGATAGCCTAATGGGAACTCCCTTGTAGGTAACTAGCTGCCTTTCTCTTGCTGCTTTTAAGATTCTCTCTTTGTCTTGAACCTTTTGCATTTTGATGATGATGTGTCTTGGTGTGGGCCTCTTGGGGTTCATCTTGTTTGGGACTCTGTGCTTCCTGGACTTGTATGTCTGTTTCCTTCACCAAGTTAGGAAAGTTTTCTGCCATTATTGTTTCAAACAGGTTTTTGATTTCTTGTTCTCGCTCTTCTCCTTCTGGCACCCCCAAGATGCGAATGTTGGCACGCTTGAAGTTGTCCCAGAGGCTCCTTACACTATCCTCATTTTTTTGGATTCTTTTTTCTTTTTGCTGTTCTGATTGGGCATTTTTTGCTTCCTTATATTCCAAATCGATGGTTTGCTCCTTGGATTTACGTACTCTATTATTGAAGTGTGTAAATTATTCTTTATTTCAGTTAATGCCTCCTTCAATTCTAACTGTGTATCCATGATTTCTGACTGGTCCTTTTTTATGCTCTTGAGGACCTCCCTAAGTTCACTGAGGTTCTCACTAAGTTCATTGAGCATCCTTATAAGCAATATTTTGAACTCAGTATCTGTTAGGTTGCTTATCTCCATTTCGCTTAGTTCTTTTCTTGGGGTTTTGTTCTGTTCTTTCATTTGGGACCTGTTTCTTTGTCTCCTCATTTTGGCTGCCTCCCTGTGTTTGTTTCTGTGTATTGCTTAACAAGAGGTATGGGGCTCGCTGAGACCAGATGCTGCTCGTTTGAAAGAATTTAGGAAAAACCTGAAGCAGGATCCAAGACCGGCCAATCCTATGGTTAAGCAAGTGGCAACAGCTTGGGTGGGCTTGAAAGTTGGGTGGGGTGGGGCCTCAGGGAGTCAACAAGGCGGGGCTACCAGTGTGAGCCAGGTTGCTGGAGTCCCAGATATGGAGACTATCTGCCGCCCCAGGGAAGGGTTCACCAAAGGAACAAACGCCTCTGACAGCCTGTTGTCCCGGAGAAAGCCCCTTCTCCAGCCCTCGCTCCAGTGCCCAACAGCTCAGTTCTTCCCTGTATGTCTCTGGCGCCCCTCGAGCTGCCTCTCCTCCGAGCTTAGAGGGAGAGAGTCCGAAAAGTCCGTGTGCTGGCCCTTTAAGGAGCTGCCTGGGGCTCCAGCCGCTTCAGCCTCCCTGAGCCTCAGTTCCCACTGGTTTTTCCAGCTAGAAGTTATGGGGATTCTCTTCCTGGCACTGGAACCCTGAGCGGGGCACCTGGTGTGGGGCGGGGACCCCTCAGTCCTCAGGGAGGACCTTCCCAGCCGCAGGAACCTCCTGAGTTTTATCCGCCACACTTGGGTGTGGGACCAGCCCGTTGCGCAGCCGCCGCCACCGCCCCTCCTACCAGTCTGGATGTGGCTGCTGCTTTAATTCCGTAGTTGTAGGACTTCCATTCAGCTTGATTTCAGGCGGTTTTGAATGATGGTTGTTCTGTAGTTTAGTTGTAACTTTGATGTGGTTGTGGGAGGACGCGGTACCGCGTTTACCTACCCGCCATCTTGACCGGAAGTTACACAGTCCTAATTTTAGAAATTCTCACTACAGCCCTGGCTGGTTTGGCCGGGTGGTTAGAGCGTCGGCCTGCGGTCCAGAGATCCGGGTTCGGTTCCCGCTAAGGGCGCTTACCTCAGTTGCAGTTTGGCCCTGGCCGTGGTTGGTCGTGCAGGTGGCAGCCACTCAATGTGTCCCCCCTTTTTTATTTTTTATCCTACTCAAGGACATTTTTCTATTTTTTTGTTCAGGTAGAGTGGGAGGGAGAGAGACAGAGAAACATTGATGTGAAAGAGACACATCGAGTGGCTGCCATCTGCACGACCAACCAGGGCCGGGGACAAACTGCAACCAAGGTACACGCCCTTAGTGGGAACCAAACCTGGGACTCTCTGGACCACAGACCGACGCTCTAACCACTGAGCAAACTGGCCAGGGCTCGATGTGTCCCTTTCACATCGATGTTTTTCTCTCTCTCTCTCTTCCTCTCACTCTACCTGAACAAAAAATGGAAAAATGTCCTCGGGTGAGGATAAAAAAAGAAATTCTCACTACAGATCATTTTTAAAACCGGCAATGTATAATAACTTCCCTTGGTACTTAAATTTTTCAAAATGAGTAATCTCTAAATAATTTTTAAAACTCTCATTTCCCTCTATTGTCCTACTATTCATATCTCATTTTATGTTCCAAGCAACTGTGGCAATGAAGACACCATAGAAAATGTTATTTACAGTAAATTTTATTTTCATTGATATTTCATTTAACATAATTTCAAAGTAGGTCTGTGCTCTAAGATGAGCAAAGGAACAGATATCCTAATCTCATGAGATTTTTTTTCACACTGTTCCTCTAAGTAGGGAATGGGGTTTCAGGGCCCTCAGTGTTGACACTTAATATTTTACCCTTTGAGACTTTATGTAAAAATACAAAATGAAGAAAAAACATCAATACATGTAAGAATCAAATTATATGAGAGTATTATAATAAGCTCGTATGTTATATGATACCCACCTCTTTAGGGTTGTAATAATGACTGATAATTTTCTCTGCAAAGTTCAGTATCTTTTTTCTTTTAAGTAAAATTATCAGTATATGTGAAAATGCTCCATTTATTTCTCTTAATAAAAATAGTGGAAGTTTTAAAATTCTTCATGAGCCCAAGCTGGGACATGACTATGATCAATGGGGTCTATTGAGCACGCTAATTCCAAGTTTGGCGACCATCAGCAAACTGTTTAAAAAAACACACAAAAAACAAAAACGTCAGGTAAAGGACAGAACAGGCACTTGACTATTTTTTTTTAAAGGATTAGGGCTCTGCGGGTCTCTCACTGCAGTGAGCAGGTACCAAGGCAGAGCAGGCAGAGATGGAACTTCCACCCCTGGGAGCACGAAAGAACACACACACCAACGGGCACTTTTACGCTGTGGCCTTAAAACAGTACATACGAGTTGGAGTTCCTAATCTCACTGCCAATAACTCAGAGATGAAAACACTGGAGGCAGGCAAGACCGCGGCCTGCCCACGGCCACAGAGCTAGCTGATGGTGCATCTGAAGCCTCCCAGTTTGCTGCTCTCAGTCTACCCCAGCGGTTCTCAACCTGTGTGTGCGTTGCGACCCCTTTGGGGATCAAGCGACCTTTTCACAGGGGTCGCCTAAGACCGTCAGAAAACACGTATTCCCTGTGGCAATTCATAACAGGAGCAAAATTACAGTTATAAAGTAACAACAAAAATAATTTTATGGTTGGGGGTCACCACCACATGAGGAACTGTATTAAAGGTCGTGGCATTAGGAAGGTTGAGAACCACTGGTCTACACTAATGATTAAATTTTGCTTGACAGCATAACAACAATGACCGAATTCATAATCCTAGGTAATTCTTCCTCAAAACAGATTTTTAAAAATTCCCTTATCTTCATGGTCTCTCTATTTATGCTTAAGGGCTACATTTTTTTTTTTAAATCTGGTTTAGATTTTACAATAAGTTAATTGAAAACAGGAATTAAAAGACATTCCCTTCTGGCAAAATTTCCAATCATAAGGGCAGTCATACAACTAAGAAATAAGGAGCCCACGCTGAATGAGCTGCAGTCATAGCTTTGCAATGAAGTTTCTTCCTCTGCAGGGAAGAGCCAGGATGGACCAGACAGCAAATATGAGAACAAAACTATTTCCATAGTGAATGAATATATTTACTTCACTTTACCACTAAATCAACTACTGTTTTTTGCATCCTCTCCTATTTGTGTATAAATTAAATCATTTTAGTTGATGCCCAGCACCAGGTATACTGAAACAAGTAAATTTGTGGGTTTACAAAGTATTATGGGCATTAAGCTAAAATCTATACTGGTGAAGAACAGTAATAGAACAGAAAGTACCTGGCACCTGCAATTAAGCCTGCAGGCATAAATTTTCCAGAGTGGTAGAATCTCATTCCCATAATGCCAGCCAAGGTTCCAGATGTAACTGATGGGAAAGAAAGAGGCAAAGATAACTGTATCTTCAATTTGGAGAATTAAAATACGTGACCAAAGACCCACCTATCTTTCAAGGGCCATACTCCATCTCATACCTCCCGAGCCGGGGAGCTTCAATACCACCACCATCTTACGAAACTAAGCACAAATACTAGAATATAAGACCGTCACAATCTGGGCCCAATCAATCTGTATCATGGAGAACGAACTGCAGGGAAACTGGTGCTTGTAGGGATACCAATTAAGAAACTTCCTCTGAGCCCTGGCCGGTTTAGCTCAGTGGTTAAGAGTGTTGGCCTTTAGACCAATGAGTCTTGGGTTCGATTTCAGTCAGGGCACATACCTCGGTTGCGGTTCGACCCTGGCCCTGGTCGGGTCATGTGGGAGGCAACCAGTTGGTGTGTCTCTCTCACATCGATGTTTCTCTCTCTCTCCTTCCCTGCCTCCCTCCCTCCCACTCTTATTTGATGATAAATGGAAAAATATCCTCAGGTGAGGAATAAAAAAGAACTTCCTCAGAAATGCAGAGGAAAGAGATGGATGACTGGAATGAGGATAGTGGTCATGGAGACAGAGGAGGAGACAATTTAGGATACTATGTTGCAAGTAGTATTGATAGGACTTGCTGATGAGTTAGAAAGATGGAGAAGAATGCAGTCAAGACTTGAATGGGCCCTGGCCAGTGTGGTTCAGTTGGTTGGAGCACTGTCCTGTACACCAAAAGGTCACAGGTTTAATCCCTGGCCGGGCCACATATCCAGGGGTTTGATCCCAGGTCAGGGTGCGTGCAGGAGGCAACCAATCAATGTTTCACTTTCACATCGATGTTTCTCTCTCTCTCTCCCCTCCCTCCCTCTCCCTTTCTCTCTCTCCAAAATCAATAAAAGCAGTTCCTCGGGTGAGGATTTAAAAATGATAAAAAATAAAAAAGACCTGAATGAATAGAGAACACCAGAAGACACAAAGTGTGTGAGAACATGAAGTCAGGCCTTGAGACATTTAGATTTCAATCAGACAACTATACATGTAAGAGTAAAGCTGGGAGGAGACATAAATTTGTGAGTCATTTGTGTACTAACAGTAATGTAAGGCCTGAGCTTCAATGACATTGTTAAGGAAGAAAGTATAAAGATTAAATAAAAAAAGAGAGGCCTTAAGCACTTTGATACTTAATGGTCAAAAAAAAAGATGGGTCCAAAAATAAAAAGGAAAACCAGGAGTGAAAAATGGATTGGGGTACTGTGCTGAGAGCAGCTAACAGGCCAAATAAAATAAGGACTAATAAATGTACACTGGGTTTTGAAAAATATAGGTCACTGGCAACCTCAGGGAGAGCTACATATTTCCATGGACAAAGGGGACAGAAATGGAGACTGAAGTGGATCAAGAATGTATGAGAGCTGTGGAAATGAAGACAGGAAGTGTAACAATTTTTTTAGAGAGTGTCTAAAGGGGAAGAAGAATGGCAGCACACAGAAAAGGAAATAGTTTCACGAGAGGTCCTCTTTTTAAAATGGATGAGATGAGCACATGAGCCTCAATAAGAGGAATCCATCTGAAAGGTGGAAGACAAGTAAGAGACGGCATCAGTGACCATATAAAGCTCTAAGGTATGGGAGAAGAGACCCAAAGCTGGGGTGAAGGGGCAGGCCTTAGAGAGGAGAGATACAGGATAAGAGAAGGACTAGAGGTCAATGGCATGAAGCTCGGAGTCCCCATGTGATGGCTGCTGTTTTTTCTTCAAGCAGGAAATGAGGGTCATTTGTTAGAGTGAAGCAGGATCAAAAATGGGAAAATAGGTCTGAAAGACATTCTGGAGCTTGAGTGAGGAAGCTGTTAGGCAGAGCTGAGAGCTGGGTACCTCCTCCTTCCCAGCACACCCCAAATTTGGCCATTGCTGACTGCCCTCCCAGCCCAGGCAGACTTTTACAAACCACTGTTACCATGTTTGTTCTCCCACCACACTTGTAAGGGCCAGAACTGTGGGTTTGTGGAGACAGTAATGAACCCACACCCCTAGCAGGCTGTCAGACACATGGTTGTAGCTCAGTAAAACGTTACCAAAAGCCACCCTGATAAGAAATAATCTTCCCGCCCAGCCAGTGTGGCTCAGTGAATTGAGCACTGTCCCACGGACTGACAGGTCCCAGTTCAATTCCTGGTCATGGCACATGCCTGGGTTGCAGGCTCAATCCCTAGGGGTGTGGGGAGTGGGGGGTGTGTGTGCGCGTGCAAATGCGCAGGAGACAGCCGATCTATGATGTTCTCTCTCACATCAATGTTTCTCTCTCTCTCTCCCTAAAAAAAAAAAAAATTTTTTTAAAATAATAATAATAATAATCTTCCCTTCCCTGCATTCCTCACTGTCTGTGCTATTCACAGGGCATGTCAGCAGCCCCGCAGAACCACTTTTTATGTCCCTAATTAAGGTATAGGTTCCTTGAAGGCAAAGCCTATGTCTCACACATCTAGCTTACTGCTAAAGGACTCATGATTTCAAAATGGAAAAAATGCAATATTGATGAAAACTTAACCAGACACATGACTTTTTAGTGATGCTCAAGCAGTCTTTAGTAGGCAATCACAATGGTTAATAGACATACACTTTACTTTATGTAAGTTTAATACTAATTTCACTGGGTAAATCCAAATTCATGAGGTATGAAAACCTTTCCACATTCTGTACATAAAAGCAGGAACCTACACAACCATGCCCTCTCCCACCCCCTTTAAAAACTGTACTAGGATTTGGCAGAGCCAGTGAAAATGTCTTAATGTAAAGAACCTAACACATCCCACCAAACTAGGGCCTTTGGTAGGGTATTATGGATAGGTAATTGACTGGGGAGCACATGAAGTTGACATACCTAGGAAAACCCAAACGTTCTTTGGGTCCTGAGACAGCTGATAAGCACCCAAGCCTGCTAAACCACCGAAGAGGAGCCCAGCAGCCAGGGATGGGACACTACCTGGAGGAGAGCAAACACATAACTGTACTGTAATGTCAGGCAATCATTTCATTAACAGAATCCACCAGACTTCCCTTCCTGACAAAGGAAAATAGAAAAATGAATTCCCAACACAGTTCACAACCAAGTTCTCAAGCACGAAAATATTCTGGGGAGTTTGCTAAATAGCTCTGGTAAAATCACCAGAAATCAGTCATACCATACCACACTACTCTCTCTTCTAACAGGGAGCGTACTTCCACCTAAGAAGAAGGACTCCTACTGCTTATTAAAGCACCCATTTAAGAAACAAAAAATTATGGCTAATTGGGGTCCATTCATGTATTGCCTTTAGTTGTTTTTTAAAAGAAAAATTGTGCCTTTGAAATCAATTCCATATCATGTCTGAATGCCATACGTTTTGCATATGTATTATACAAAGGTAATGCATACTGTACTTTCATGTGTGCACATTTATCATCAGATCTTTTGTACCCGGTGGCAGCATTGTAGCGGATCAAAAAACGTTTGATATCTTAGCAATTTTGCATTTTTGTGTCTCAAATAAAAAACATTTTGATGCAAACAAAAGAAAAAGAAGACGAAGAAGGGCTCCTGAACAGGCCTGATTAACCTGTCAAGGACTGGAACTGTCCACGAACAGGACCTTGGGCAAATCCCAAAAGGAGAAGGAAATGGGGTTAGTTAAAAGTAGATCTGGAGAATAAAACTTCTGGGGTGTGTGTGTGTGTTGGGGATGCAGATAAGAAAGGGGTAGAAATGAACAGGCTCTGTGACACACCCCTGACTAATTTAATGAGGAGGCTTCAAAAAATGAGGATAAAAAGATTAGGTTTCCTGCTACTTCAAGAAAAGAGCAGAGATGGCGCTCCAGGGTCAAGGCTGATGTATGGCAATTGACGATAATAGCAATCTGCTACCACTCCTGCCCCGCACCTTTAGATAAAGAGGCACAAACAAGTGATTCAATAAGAAGCCTGGCTTAGCTCACCAGATAACCCAAAGGCAAGTGCAGGAAGCAGCCACTGCAGGAAGAGCTACCAGAGGAATTGCTACAGGACTGACATTAAGTCTGAACTCAAGCTAGAGGGACTAAAGCAAACTGGATTCAAATAAGACTGCACTTTGGGGACTCTGGGAACTCACTCTTCACCAGGAGCAATGTGAAGATCCTAAGGGATTAAGTAACTATAAACCATACCTGCTTTGGCATAGCCAATGATCCCACCAGAAGCAACCAGTGCTGCATAGCCAAAGCCAATCCAATGTAAAGGCACTCTGCAAACAAGAGTAAGAAATCAGTGCCAACCATGTTTAAAACAAACAACAAAAAGACCCACAATCATAGAATGGGAATAAAAGGTCATCATTACAGAACAATCCTACCACTGTTGAAATGAAAATAAAGTCCAGAGGTTAGATGACTTGCCTAAAGTCACACAACCAGTCGGTGACAGAGCTGGGACTCAAATCGTGTCCTGCATGTCCATCCTCTTCTACCCAATAGTGCCCTGGTATTCTACTCTTAGAGCCCTTTTCAAATGGGGATAAAAACTCCTGTTCTGAGAAACTCCTGGCAATTCCCCTCCCATTCACTGTGCACTTACAGTGGGCCGGAGTCCTTCTGCATTGTTCTTTCACACTGTCCAGGCAGGAGACCACACCACCCGGCCTATGCCTGCAGAGGAGGGGCTGGATCAGAGATGGTTAACAGCACAACTCTAGCCCTCAGAAAGAAGGGGGTCCAAGTTCCAGCTCCACCCCATAGCTAAGAAGCAGTGGGCAATTACCCAACCTCCCTAAAACTGTTTCCTTCACTATACTTTGAGGATAAAAATGGTACAAATTTCTTGGGGCTGCTGTGGACATTAACTGGGATAATATATAAAAGTGCTGGAACAATCATTTTTGTAACAGCCTCAATTCTAATAATATAGGCCCACAGAACACTGAGGAAAATTCACTAACCAGCTCTGTACAAATCATGAGTTAACCTTTTCAACAGTTCACCAAGTTACGTGTTACTAAATAGGAAAGCAAGTATCTTCTGTACCCTTAATTCAACTACTTTAACTGCTCCTTTTAAGGGAGAAGGGTGCTGCTCTCCACCTTTGCTCCGAGAATCAAACTATTTCAAGTTAACGCTTGTTAGTTTTAAAGTTATTTACTTTTGCTAGCAACTCATAGTTCTCGGTGGAGGGGGGGGCGGGATAAAAAACTGAAGTCCTAATTACGGCACAACAAAGGCCCTTGTCAAAGCAGCTCCTAATTTCTTAAAGAAACGCATCTGAATCCAGTGAGGCTAAGACTGGAAGCAACACACACCCCGTTTCGTTTAAACCATTAAGGGTGCATTAAAAGAGAGGGCCTGGAATCCCGCCCAGTCATTAATTCAAAGTGGCATCGAGTTACTGAGCTTTTAAGGAGACAAGCAATGAAGCCTCCAGGGAACTAAAGAGCACTACGCTATTTGCCTCAAGAGCTCCGCTTCCACAAGATGCACAACCTACTCCGAGGAAGGCAGAAAATGCGCGACTGGAAAAGCAACTGGTAAAGCCCCCGCCTGGACCCAGGGGACGAGGAGCACGCCGCAGCAAAGCCTCTCGTACAATCCCCCCAAGTCCGAAGATTATGTAATAATAACCCCCAAGTACCCGAACCGCTTCCCTACGGATCCGCAGCGGTCGACGAGAAGGCACACGCCGTGGGGCGGGGAGTCCGGCGCCGGAAATGTCGCAACGCGCGCTCGGCGTCCCGGAAGCAGGGCGGGGCCGGGGGCGGAGCAGAGCGTGGGGGCGGGGCTGGAGGCGGAGAGTCGCGCCGGACCCCTGAGGCCCGGCTGCGGGCTGTGTCCTCCCGCTCCAGTCCCAGCTACCAGCCTTCCTGGCTAAAGCCGAAAACCCAGAGTTTGATTCGGGTCTTGCAGGAGGCCGAATGAGTCGTACCAGGCCGGTAGTGGAGGCCACCGAAGCGGGAGGAGGACGTCTGAGGCTGGATTCTGAAGGACCCCATTGAGGTGGACACATTACTAGGTGTAAACTGGACGCAGGCCATCCGGGAGGATTGTCACTCTAGCCGGAGCACGTTGTTCCAACAACAGGAAGGGACTCCCTTCACTGCGGAAAATTCGGTGGCCACCGGCTAGACAATTGGCTCACTTCGGTGTTTTAGAGAGTGATGCTACTTGAGAAGCATCTTTAAAGGGGAGAGAGGGTAAGTTAAATGTGGTTTACAACTTCCTCTGCCAAGTCCCAGTGCTCACAAGACATTATCTCCACTCCACTGCAGATCTGCTCCTCTTCCCTGCCTTTCCCGCACCATTCACTCAGTTGCTGTGCACCAAAATTTGAGTGTCACCCTTGATGTCTCTTCCTCCCCTACAAGTGTCAACGTGGATAAATCTTATAAATACAATCTCCAGTGAAAAGGAAATTGAAACGCATACATATTCTAAAAGAAAAACTTTCCACTTGCAGCAGCTCCTACCCAACTTCCAGGTTATCCGTGTTTAGCATAGCTGATCCTAAACAGCCACAGCTGATAATGACTAAGAATTTTGAGGAATTCCTACTGGAATTGCCAGACCCTCATCAACTCAATGGAAGACTATCCTGAAGAGCTTAATATCTTTTAGGTCCATCCTCGTTGTCACGAACCAAAGATGGGACTTGGTTTAACTAGCTGGATGGATTTAGGGATTCACTTCTTTCTCTGCTGGTGCAGGCTTCAAACCTTGTTATATCCCCCTGCCCTTCAGACTTAAAGAAATTGAACCACAATATTTAAGTAAATTTCCTGTAGTCCTAGTCCTTGGTAGTCTGTCATACACACTTAACTCTACATTATGCTAACTCTTATAGTGTCATTCCTCAGCCAAAACGCACAGCTCTTCTGTGTGTGTGCAGTCCATCATAAGATATAAAATAGGGTCTCTGAATTGCAACCAAAAGAACTGTGTAAGATGTTTCCCATAAGTTTGTCACATTTTGCCCAACTTGGACTAATCACATATATACTCATCTTGCCATACAACTTATTCCATATCTCACCCATTACACATTTTATTTATTTATTTATTTATTTATTTATTTATTTATTTATTTATTTATTTATTTATTTTTGTTATCCTCACCCGAGGACATTTTCCCAGATTTTGTTCAGATAGAGTGGGAGGGAGGGAGGGAGAGAGAGAGAAAGAGAGAGAGAAACAGAAACATCGACGTGAAAGAGACACATCACGTGGTTGCCACCTGCAGGACCCAACCAAGGCCAGGGACAAACTGCAACCCAGGTACATGCCCTTAGCGGGAACGGAACCCGGGTCTCTCTGGACTGCAGGCCGACGCTCTAACCACTGAACCAAACCAGCCAGGGCCCATTACACATTTTTTTTTTTTAATTCAGATAGAGCAGGAAGGAGAGGGAGAAAGAGAGAGAGAGAAACATCAATGTGAAAGGGACACATCGAGCAGCCACCACCCACACCACCCAACCAGGACCAGGGACAAACTGCAACCGAAGCACATGCCTTTAGCGGGAACCGAACCCAGGTCTCTCCGGACCGCAGATTGATGCTCTAACCGCTGAGCCAAACTGGCCAGGGTCCATTACACATTTTTAAAAATCAAAGTGAAAGGAACTGGTTTCTGCTCTGTTTTGGTTAGTGTCACACATGATTTGTGTTTAATAATGTTTCTAATGACATTAACATTTTAGGAGAAGCTTGGCATTTTTTCTCCAACCATCCTCCCCTCCCCTTTGGCAACCATCAGCTTGTTCTTTGTATCTGTGGGTCTTTTTCTGTTTTGTTTACTCATTTGTTTTGTTTTGTTAGATTCTGCATATAAGTGAAATCATATGGTATTTGTCTTTCTCTGTTTGATTTATTTCACTTAGCATAATACCCTCTAGGTCCAACCATGTTGTCGCAAATGCCAAAATTTCATTCCTTTCAGTGCTGGGTAATGTTCCATTGTATATAGAACCACATCTTCTTTATCCATTCATCTATCAGTGGACATCTAGGTTGCTTCCATATCCTGGCTGTTGTAAATAACACTGCAGTGAACATAGGGCTGCATATATCTTTTCAAATTAGTGTTTTTGTTTTCTTCAGATAAATACCCAGGAGTGGTATTGCTGGGTCGTATGGCAGTTCTATTTTTTTTTTTAATCCTCACCCGAGGACATTTTTGCATTTATCTTCAGATAGAGCAGGAGGGAGAAAGGAAGAGAGAGAGAAAAACATCAATGTGAGTCAGACATATCGAGTGGCTGCCACCAGCATGACCCCAACTGGGGCCAGAGACAACTGCAACCAAACTGCAACCAAGGTATGTGCCCTTAGCGGGAACCGAACCCAGGACTCTCCAGTCTGCGGGCCAACGCTCTAACCACTGAGCCAAACTGGCCAGGGTGACAGTTCTATTTTTAATTTTGGGGGGAACCTCCATACCATTTTCCATAGTGGCTGCGCCAATTTACAAGCCACTGACAGTGCACAAAGATTCCCTTTTGTCCACATCCTTGCCAGCACTTGTTGAGTTTTTTGATGATAGCCATTCTGACATGTGTGAGGAAGTATCTCATTGTGGGCTTTCTTTTTTCTTTTCGTTTTTATAAGAGTTTATTTGAGCCAAAATGAGAACATATGCCTGGGAACAAGATTTCAAATGCTTTCTCATTGTGTTTTGATTTGCATTTCTCTGATGATTAGTGGTGTTGAGCACCTTTTCATATGTCTGTTGACCATCTGTATGTTCTCTTTGAAGAAATGTCTGTTCAGGTCCTTTGCCCATCCTGAATTGCTACAAAAGTTTTGGCATCATACAGATTCCAATTTACATTATATATTAACATTCCTAAAAACCTACAAGTAATATAACCCCTCTAAAAGTCAGGCTCACATTTTATAACAATATCAAACTCTAATAGAATTCATCTTTTTATTACCGCCTCCCCACCTTTTGAAATCTCAAACATCAAAGTAAGTGATATCTATTAACATCTGTTGTCCAAATGACAAAACATGTTCCTACTACTAAGATTTTTTTTTTATTCCTCACTGGAGGATACTTTTTCCACTGATTTTGTAGAGCGAGTGGAAAGGAGGGAGGAAGGGAGGGGGAGAGAGAGAGAGAGAGAGAGAGAAGAGGGAAAGAAAGATCAATGTATCTCTCTCACATCTATGCCCTTGACCAGGAATTGAATCCTTGACCCTTTGGTTGGCAGGCTGACTCTCTAACCACTGAGCAACACCAGCCAGGACTACTACTAAGATGTTAATAGTCGTAATGGTTGGCCTTTATTGAGTACTGGTAGTATGCTAAGCACTGTTCAAGACTATACATATTGACACATTTGATATTCATAACAACCCTATGAGACAGGGAAAGACTGTCAGCTTCATACAGATGGGGAAACTGAGGCACACAGAAGTAAGTAGAAGAGCCAGGTTTGAACCCAGGCTACCTAGTTCCAGGGCCCCAGCTCTTAATCACTAGGCAACTCTCTCTGTATCTCATTTCCTGTATCAGAGATTAGACATGAGAATAGGAATGAAAAGGAATACCCAGTTCTCAAAGGAAATGTTTTCTAAAACATTACAAAACAATCCCCCACCTACAATATCCCTAAATCTATAACCTATTTCGCAACTATCCACTGGCAAGCCACTGGCAAAATAAGTAAGTGAAATTTTGAAGCTTAAGTTGACTTTATAAATCAAGAAGCAAGCTAACTTGGGCTGTTTAACTAGAATATGAAAGTGCCTACACTCCATGGGAATAGATATTTTAATAACAAGGGTTCCTGGATCAACATCAACCTAAGGGGAGATGATGCCGCAATGACACTGACATCTAGTTTCATTAACAACTTGTCAAATGGAATGACAAATTTATGGATGGCAGTGGGAAGTACAAATGGGTGCAGGCCAATATGCTGGGATAGCTGACAACCAACAAGACAAAATTTTACAGGATAATGTAAAGTTCTGAGCCAGAAAGAATAAAAGGTTTGGGGTTATGGAGGTGGTGGTGATAGAGTCAGGACTAAAACAAATCCCTTTTCTAGGCTTACTGAAAACACTCTGGGGAGCTCAATAGTCACCCTTCTAGTTATAGGCTCCTAATCAATCATCTTCACTTTGGGTGAGATGAGCTAAATGAGGTAACTAGAATTACTCTAAGCATTCATGTCCAATGATGTCATGGAAAAGCAGAGGCAACAGTAAGATATTTTGAAAAGTCTTCAGGATAGCACACTTTTTAAGAACACAAACATACAATATACGATACGACCTAAGTATTTAAGGTCTTACTCTAAACTTAATGAAAATGAGTTGAAGAGGCTGAAATGACAGTTTCATCATTTCAGTTAATTGCTCCCACCAATAATTGTTAACAGCTGATGGGAATGTTGTCCTGTGCATTATATTCAATACTGCTGTGATATGCATTTCCTAGACCCTGGAATTAAATACATGGAGGCTTCATCAAGTAACTTCTTTATAAGCTGATCCCACATCATCATTCTAGAGAGGATGGCATAAGGGGAATTATTTGTATCCATTTTCAACCTAAAAACACTTCAGGGAATGTCCATTTCTGGGAAGATGGAGTTTACATAATTTCCTCTATTTTCTCTGAGGACACCCAGAAACCATGAATATCATGTATAGATCACACAGAAGATTCAGAAAGCTGAAGAGAAGGCAAACTGACTAATGACC